GGCTTCCGGTTTCAAATGGCAGAGCTAAAGGGACATTGCTTCCTGTAGCCTCTTGTCAAGACCCTTACATAGAGGGACAGCGCAGGAGGCACTGGACGTACTACTCTGACTCTTTGGTTTTCTAGGTTTCCTGAAGATCCATTCTCTCTCTCTCTCTTGTATTTGTAACCATTTTCTTCTCCGTTTCCCCCTGTGCTTCTCTTAGATCCTATGCATACCCTTTGCACTTGCAAATACTTTTCCCATAAAGGCTATGAATTCCCTGAGAGCAGGGGCCTCCGCAGCTCTGTAACTCTCACACTCACAGGGCAGAGGCTTCCTCCTAGATGAGTGGATGGATGAATGAACCGTGGCCCACGGCGATTTTTTTTATCACTTCCGCTCTGAAAGTTGCTTCCTAGTGATGCAATAGGAAGCAACTTAATCTCACTGCTTTTAGAAATTCGTTTACTTTTTATTAGCACATGTTTGCCATACGTAATGGTCCCATTCATCTTGGGGAGTGTGAACCTATACATCCTGTCTTAATTCTTTTTTATTCTCAGCCTCTCCCTTTTCTTCCATCCTCCTTCCCCTCCCCACTTATAAAAGCTGTTTCTTATTCCTTCAATTCTCTCTTTCTAAAACCCTTTTTCCCTCCTGCCACCCCGTTTTCCTTCCCATTTGAACAAGTTCTTTCTACTGCGAATATCTACCCACCATTTTGTCCCTTATTTATCCTTTGCGTTTCTCACAGGAGAGAAACAATGTGCTATCTAAACTTGTGTTTCTGATATAGTTTACTTAAGATTATGGTTTCAAGATGCATTTATTTTCCTAAAAATGCTTCACATTTATCATCCTTCTTTATGGCAGAGTGGTAGTTGTACAGAGACACTATTTTTTTTATTCATTCATGTGTTGATGGGCACATGGGCTGTTTTCAAGATTTAGCTATTATAAACTGTTCTGCTATAAACATGAGTATGCGTGTATCAGTGGGGTATGATGACTGTGACCCTTTGGGGAGGTGGAAGAGCTGGGTCAAATGGAACCTCTAGTTTTAGTTTTATGAAGAATCTCCATATTGTATTCCATGGTTCTTCCAGTCTACACTCCCAGCAGCAATGGAGAAGGGTTCTTTCTTCCCCAAGTCCGCATCGGCATTTGTTATTGGTTGATTTGATAATAGTCATTCTTTTTGACGTGAGATAGAATCTGTGTTGCTTTACTTTTTTTGGTCTGTTTTTCTTTTTTTGTCTTTTTCCTTTTTATTGGTACTAGGGATCAAACTCACGACTGCCTGCTTTCAAGGCAGGCGCTTATGCCGCTGAGCTAAACCCCCAGCCCCTTTTGGTCTGTTTTTGAGGCAGGCTTTCACTATGCTGTTTGGGCTGGCCTTGAACTCACTGTATAGCCCAGGCTGTCCTCAGACTCACAATGATCCTCCTGCCTCAGCCTCCCAAATACTGGGATTACAGGTGTGCACCGCCATGCCCAGTTAATTTGCATTTCTTGAACGACCAATGATGTTGAATATTTTTTCATGTATTTGTCTGCTGTTTAACACACCTCCAAACTCTATCTCCTATACCATACTTTACAGAATGTTTGTTCCATAAAACTGATCCCTCTGGGCTGGGGATTTAGCTCAGCGGCATAAAGCACCTGCCTTGCAAGCAGGCAGTCGTGAGTTTGATCCCCGGTACCAATAAAAAGGAAAAAGAGAGAGAAAAAAAACTGATCCCTTTAATACTGCTTGCCTTTCAGCTAGCATCAGCTCTGCAGATCACATTTTTTTGTGTACAGTTTGCTTTTAGGGAGTGTTCATCAGTTTGTTGACTCCAGGAAGCACATTTCCAAGACTCCCGTATTTAGGGGCCCCTGGGTGGTGGGCTGGGCTGGGGCTATGCCTGCTCACTTAGGAAAGCTCAAGGTGAATCTGCTTCCAGCAGGGTCTTGAGCTGGCTGCTGTGGGTAGGGAAAGTGGGCTGAGACCTGCTTTCTGTTCCCTAGGGAGCTGGGGACACTACAGTGAGGACCGGTCAGTTTGGGTGAGCTCAAGGGGGAGGGGCGGAGGGAAGGGAGGTAGGTCATGGCCCTGTCTGGCCCTCAACTGTGGTGCGCAGGGGCCACGGGCGGCTGAGAGGCAGGCAGCCCCACCTGCACAGGATGGGGCGCACACCCATGGGGCCGAGGAAGGAAATGAGCCTGCTCTCCATGCAGTTTGACATGTGAGTGGTCTTGGAAAGCAGAAAGAGTGTCACCTGGGAAGATCAATTTTCCTTCATGAATTTCCTGCACATGCATTGAAAGAGGTGCTTACTGATTTCTGTGAATTTCCGGCTTGGTGTTGTTTACTGTTTTCCATTTATTTTTCTTAGCACCTGTTTACAGCAGATGGTGTGTACGTCCCTGTGTGACACACCTACTTAATACATCTCAGTTTCTTTTTCCACCCCTTACCTCCTTCCTCTCCCCCTGGCGCTTGGTTCCTTTCCCAGTGGAGAAAAACCCTTCTCCCTACTTCCAATGATCTAGTTTTTATTTCACTATTTATAATTTGTGTTTCTTAGATAAGAGAAGCCACAGGACATTTAAGCTTTGAGACCATTATGGTCTCAAGGTGCAACTTTTTTCCTACAATTGACTCAGGCTAATCTTTCTTTTATGGAGTGCTACTCCCTTGTGTATAGCTGCCACATTTTCTTTATCCATTTATCTACTGATGGACATATAGGCTGTTTGCAAGATGTAGGTAATGTGAATTGTGCTGCTGAAAGTGTGGGTATGCACATTTCACTGTGACATGATGTATAACTCTTTGGGGAAGATACCTAGAGGGCAACAGCTGCGTCAAGTGGAATGTCTAGCCTCGGTCTCGGTCTCTTTTATCCCAGGCCAAGTGTCGAACTCTGGGTGCAGACAGTGGGTGGAGATCTCAGGAGGGCCACAGTGTACTGTTTCAGTCAACTGCCACTCTCCCATGCACCTCATTTACCACTTCTCCGGGACCAGAGATAATAGATAAACCCCTCTCCATCCAGAGTCCCTCCCTGTCTCAGTCCCATTTTTCTGTTCTCACTTCCTGCCTCTGTGAATTGCATTCTTTTCTCTAAAGGTCACAGGATGACCCCGTTAGTCACAGCCCTTGATGCCCAAGGCCAACACCCCACAAGTGGCCTTTTTTTTTTTGTTGGGTAAAGCCTTGGAATTCTGATGATACCTATGATTGTAAGTGCTAGGAGGAAACAGATTGTCAGTGGCCTTGGAGCTGACACATGGCACAGTTAAATGCTACCCTGATAAACAAATAAAAGATATGGCAGCCAATTTCAGTTTTAAAATGGTTAGATCCCTGATGGTTGGACCCTTCTCTGAGCCTGTTTTTGGGGCTGCAGAGTCCCCTGACGCTCCACTGAGGCACACACTAAACCCCACTGGCTTCTCCCAAGTGCTCTTTGAAGACTCTGGCTTAGTTTTCCTCTTCTTCACAACTGACACTTGTACCCTTCAAAGCTATTTCTCCAGTAGACAGGCTAAACTCATAATTAGAAAAGGATTTAAGAGTCTTGGTGGGAAGAGTCTGCTCTTTCAAAATCAGCATCAAAGCAGTCGTCATTGAGAGAAAACTCCTTTACATGTACTAGTCTCTGGTTTAATGTTGGTTTTGCTTTGGATATTTGAGGGAGGCGAATGACACCATCTTTTTAGCATGCGGACATCTAAATATCTTTATGTTTTTGGCTTCTGGAAAAATTCCCCCAGGGTCATCTGGCTCTGTCTTTGGCCCTCAGCAGGGGCAGGGAACCCTAAGGCAGGGCCTCATGCTCCAGATCTGGGTTTCTGCCCCATCACTTGGGGAGTGGATCCCGCTGGCCACCTGTGTTTGCCTGCCTCCGCACACTGCGTGGGGCTTTCTGGGTTCCTTTCCAGACGTTCTCTTTTCCTCCTCCTCCATGAATTACTGGGAGGCTGTGGAGTGGGCCCAGTGGAAGCAGAGGTGCTGATGACCTTCCGTGGCTCTCTTGTCTGAGAGCGCTGGGGACAGTGCAGACAATTCCCTCATCAAGAGGGCAACGCTGTCTGATCTCCATCATTGCCTTCTGTCCTCAGATGAGGCCTGCCACCCCATACCCAATTTAATGATGCTGGAGCAGGCGCAGGAAGAAGTCTGTCAGGCCAGAGGCGGGACTTCCGGTCGCCCTCACCACCTACTTTCGGCTTCCTTGACACCCATTTCCGGGTCCTGCGTGGCCATGTCAACGGCTGCCTGCCTCACCGGAGCCGTTTACGGTGGACACAGTGACATCTGGCAGACTGCAGTATCTTGGCCTGGGGGCCCGTCTGCGAGGCCTGGCCTCTTCCTAGAGGTCCAGTTTCATTTTGGGGGGACCCCTCTACAAAGATGTTAAGTTAGGTCACTTCCGGGCCCATCCTTAGCTCCTTTAGCTGCCTGGTGGCTGTTCCAGGGCGCGAGTCGCCTGCCCCTCTTTCCCTCACTTTGTATCCAGCTTAGTGCTCTGCAGGACGCTGCTGTCCTCGCTGGCTGCAATGCATCAGCATTTCTCCGGAAAAAGCCCTCTAACTCCCCAGATCATTGAGGTCCTCTTTCCTCCCTCTCGAAAGACCTGGCCTGTCCAGCCCCAGCCTCTGCTGGCCCGGAAGGACTCCTCCTCCTTCACCCCTGCGCTGCTCTCCCTTGGGGCTGACCCCCAGCCTCACACAGGCTAAGCAAACTCTCTACCACTGGATTGCATCCTCAGCCCCTACGGGAGTTTTAGCAATTTTTTGGGAAGCAATTTCCTTTGAAGAGTGAACTCTGAGTTTCCTTTTGTTTTTTCCCTGCAACAACAAAAAATATCCGGAGGGCATTTTTAGTTCCTCCTCTTTGCATTGTTGGAGCAGCCTGAGAAGTGACACTTACTCTGGAACAAATGGGGCAGGGCACGCCTGGGCGTTTCTGTGGTTCCCTGTTGAGTGGAGAGGGCAGGACTCCTACACACTTGTTCCGGGACCATGGGTGTGCACTGGCGGTGCTGGCTGAAGCGTTGGCCCACCTTCAGATGCCCAATGGCCTTACCCCTTTGTGGCTCTCCGCCCTCTGCCTCTGGCCTGTGAACTGCTCCTGGGTGATATGTCTGAGCTCGATCCCTTATCTGAGAGCAGGAAGCCCAAAGGTGACCCAGCTCCCTGCTGTGCTCTACCTTACAGAGATTAAGGGGGCCCCCGAATGTGTGCCTTGGATGTCTGGCCAATGTCAGGAAACACGTGCTGAAGCTCTAGAAGGAAGAAAGCCGCAGGAGAAAGCCGCTGGAGGAAGGCCGTAGGACAGACACAGTGTTCACGGTGTTCACTTTCCTTCCATGGAACCCAGCTGTCTGCCCTTGGAAACAGAATCACACCCTCCCCTGAGAGCTTCCTGAGGCTGAAAAGCAGCTGTAAAAGGTGAGAATGCTCCTGACTTGTCACTTTTCTTCCTCTTAGATTCCCATGACTGTTATTACTAAAGAAGATACAACTTTATGCGCAGAGATGTAACAAGGAAAAATAGCCTTTGCTACATGCACCTGTGACGTTTGGTTTTTCCCCTTTAATGTCTGGTTTTCTTGGGTGGTACTGAGGACCTCATTGTGTTTAGAAAGTTGGTGTGGTTTCGTACGTGGGTGAAAAGCCTGGGGGAGAGGACAGAGGGAAGCCTTGCATTCGCTTCTCGTGCAAGTGTTCCTCTGTTTAGAAGAAAGACCTAGTAATTCTGTATTTCAGGTTAGTTGTGAAAATTAACTGAACAATGTAAAAAGAAGTATCTCTGACCCACAGAAGGCACTCATGAGATGCTGGACAGTTATTTGTCCCTGTGTAGGTCTATATTTTAAATTTGATGGAGTATGTCAGTGCTTACAGTGCATTTTATGGATAATAACAACTTTGTACTTATTTTTTTTCAGAGCTGGAGAGTGAATCCAGGGTCACATACAAGGTAGGAAATCACTCTCCATTAAGCTACATCCTCAGTCCCTTGTAAAATTTTCTTTTGTGACTAAGTTGCCAAGCCTTGAACTTGAAGCCCTCCAGCCTCAGCTTCCCAACTTGCTGATTTATAGACATGCACCTGGCTTCATTTGTATTTCTTTAAGAATATTTTTTAAAAAAGGTTGCCTAGCCACCACATGTGGCTATTGAATTATAGATGTTGAAAGCTTAGTCTATAAATTGCCAAGTAGAAGCAAGAAATATGTTGCCTTCTTAAAAAAAATTCTTTTTGGAGTATTAGAGGTTGAACCCATAACCTTGTTACATGATAGTCAAAAACTACCGCTGACCATACCCCTAGCCTGTAGTTGGGCTTTTCAAAGAACTTTTAAATTTCTAGAATTGCTGCCGACAGTCTGAATTTCAGGGATGTCCGTCTCCAGACCCACTAGAATTGGAGACTGGAGATGAGAGCTCCGTTCTGGGTGGTAAGGCTTGGAGCAAAAATAAGGAATGCAGGGTGGGGACTTCCCCTAATTGCATCTTGGTGTCACACAAGCTCTCAGCTGCCATGCTGTTTCCTGATGGGGAGGCGGAGTCAGATGCATGCTGTGGGAGGCTGGTCCTAGGGTCAGGTTATAGAGCTCTAACAGGAAGCTAGGTGTGTAGCTCTCCCAGACTGGCCTTTGCTGAGGATGTTTGTTTAAAGAAATGCCTAGTTTGCTGTCAGTGTAGAGTTGAACTTGATGTTCCCATGAGAATGTGTGCATGATTTGCTTGTAACTGAGGTCTTTTGTTCTACCCAAGGAGCCTGTCCTCCTCCTCCTGCTCCCCTGGTGCGCTGGCTGGGAAAATGATCCCATGGAAGAGACTCTGCTGGCATTATCACATGTGGATCCTGGGCTGTTACATGGTGCTGGCCCTTGTGGCTTTGAAAGTGACTCTCCGGCTGAAGTGTGACTTCGAGCACCTGTATTTGGACTCCAAGGAGTTTCCCGCTCAGTACTGTAGGAATATCTTGTACAGATCCCTGATGCTGCCAGCCCAGAGGTTCATCAACTGTTCGGGGGTCAGCAGAGGGGACCACGAAGCAGTGATCCAGGCTGTGCTGAATAACCTGGAGGTCAAGAAAAAGCGGAAGCCTTTCTCTGAGGTGGACTACATCTCTATGACTCGAGACTGCGAGAAATTCAAAGCCCAGCGGAGGTTCGTGCAGGTGGCCCTGAGCAAAGAGGAGTCAGACTTCCCCATCGCGTACTCTATGGTGGTTCATGAGAAAATCGAGAACTTTGAGAGGCTGCTGCGAGCTGTGTACATGCCACAGAATGTGTACTGTATCCACGTGGACAAGAAATCTCCAGAAATGTTCCAAGAGGCAGTCAGGGCGATCGCTTCCTGCTTCCCAAATGTCTTCATAGCCAGCAAGCTGGTTCCCGTGGTTTACGCCTCCTGGTCCAGGGTGCAGGCTGACCTGAACTGCATGGAGGACTTGCTCCGGAGCCCAGTGCGGTGGACCTACTTGCTGAATACCTGTGGGACAGACTTTCCCATAAAGACCAACGCTGAGATGGTCCGGGCCCTGAGGATGTTGAACGGGAAGAACAGCATGGAGTCAGAAATCCCCAGCGAGTACAAAAAAACCCGATGGAAATATCACTACGTGGTGAAGGACAAGTTGTACATAACCAGCAAGAAGAAGGAGCCTCCCCCTTACAACGTAACCATGTTCACCGGCAATGCCTACATTGTGGCTTCTCGGGACTTCGTCCATCACGTCCTAAATAACCCTAAATCCCAGCAGCTGATCGAATGGGTGAAAGACACCTACAGTCCTGACGAACATCTCTGGGCCACCCTCCAGCGGGCCCCCTGGATGCCCGGTTCTTCGCCCTTGCATGCCAAGTATGACATCTCGGACATGACCGCCATTGCCAGGCTGGTCAAGTGGCAGCAACATGAGGGTGACATCAGCCAGGGGGCACCTTATGGACCTTGCTCTGGGGTCCACCGGCGGGCCATCTGCATTTATGGGGCCGGGGACCTGCACTGGATGCTGCAGAATCACCATCTGTTGGCCAACAAGTTTGACCCAAAGGTGGATGATAATGTTCTTCAGTGCCTGGAAGAGTACCTGCGTCACAAGGCCATTTATGGGGTTGGGCTGTGAGGCGCAGGCTCGTGCAGACACGTAGAGCCCACTGGGACATGTGGGTGGGCACCCCTGGGACAGCGGCTGCAGCTGCAGAGTGGGTGAGTGGTCACCTGCCCGCACTCCTGTTGCCCGGCAGCGGCTGGCCAGTGTCCTTGCCCTCTAACTCTGCCCTCCATTGACTCTCTTGGTGACAGTGAGGACAGTTGCCACCTGGGAGTAGGAGGAGCAGAGGACTCTGGACGTCAGCTGAGAGCCTGGCCTGAGGTTTCCAGCTGCCAATTCTGGACTTAGTGCTGAGGAGGGGCAGGTTTTAAAGGAAATCAAATGCCTTTCCTTTTCCACTGTTAACCCAAAATAAAGTGCTCCTGTTCAGAACCTCACCTCTGTGTCCCCTCTGATGAGCCAGGAACAGTATGAACACATACAGTGTGTGAGACCTTTCTTCTCACTCTTGGTAACATTTAAAATCTCCGCTGACTGATAAGAGAGTTTCTACTCTCCGAAGTGCCCCGGCAAGCTGTACAAATATCAAATTCAGAAGAAAGGAGAGGAACAGAGCTGAGTCCTTCATTCTGTGGACACAGCCAGATTCATAACTTCTCTGAGGGAAACTGCAGGTGATTTTACCAGTTTGACCACCCACATCCTTCTAGGTGCTGAGCACGGTGCTGATTTTACCAGTTCCACAGCCAGAGCATAATGTTCCATAACGGCCATGTAGATAAAGTAGGATATTTATTTGTTTGTTTTTGTTTGTTTGTTTTTTTTTTTTTTGTCTTTTTCCTTTTTATCGGTACCAGGGATCGAACTCACGACTGCCTGCTTGCAAGGCAGGTGCTTATGCCGCTGAGCTAAATCCCCAGCCCCATTTGTTTGTTTTTGTTGTTTCAAGATAGGGTCTCTCTATGAAGCTCAGGCTGGCCTTGAACTCACTTTGTAGCCCAGGTTGGCACGGAACTCGTAGCGATCCTCCCGCCTCCACCTCCCGAGTGCTGGGATTACAGGTTTGAGCCACCACGCACTGCATAGGATATAATTTATCAAGAAAACTGAAACACACTTTAGAAGGGGACAGGGCTATGCTGTTGCTAATTATACTGAGAAAAGAAAGTAGGACCAGCAGGGATGTCTACTAGTCCACATGCAGGCCCATTGAGTCAAAGCTCCCTTATTTCATTGTGCAACTGGAAGGGTAACAGGTGGGGTGGTGCAGGTTATACATTTCCTGGTGGGAGACAAATGTATTTACACAAACTCCCCAACTCTCTAATGTTACTCAGTGAAACAGTTTTCTTTCTGAAACCCCAGAGATCATTGACAGGCACAGCCTCGTCTTCCTCATGCAGTGTGTCTTGGAAAGGTGATTTCTGCACAGGTCCGTTTGTATAAATTGAGCGATGGTCCAGTGAACACATCATGAGTCTCTCGTGGGTCTCCTCATTTCTGATTGTCCTTTGGTCCCGCAGATTCCTTTTCAGTCATCCGTCTGCAGCCCAGCAGCCTCTGTGTGTGCCTTAGCCAGTTTTCTCTTGACAAGTTCGTGATTCCCTGCTTTGAACGTGTTATCCATGGACCATGGTCCTGGACACTAGGAACCCCCTTTCATGATGCCGACTCTACCCCCAGGCCCATCAGAGAGAGGCCTGAGGTGGACATGTCTGGCCAGGGAGGTGGCCAGCAGTGCCCACCGCCTTGCTCTGTGTGATTGTCTTGGGCTTTCCTGAGCCTCCGGCCTCATAGTCATCTGGCTGTAAAAGCTTCATAAAAAAGAATTCATGATCTTTAGATAAATAAAAGAACAACATGCAAACAAATTGCTGGAATTTTCTAAGTACTGACACATTCAGGGAGAATCAAGTTTACACAGTTGAGCTGACATATGTGTTGCTGGTGCCTTCCGCAGAGTCTCATCTGTTTCTTTTAACTTTTCTCTGGAAAGGAAAAATCACACTCATGAACTGAGCGGCTTTGTTTGCAGTAGCTCTTGCGGTTTAAATTGCCTCATTTTTGATTATAGGCTATTACTGAGCATTGTTCTAACAACTCGCTTTTTACTGCACATTCTGTTTGTTGTACTTCTCTTGGTTAAGTGACTTTTTTGGGGGCAGGGGATCAGACCCAGGACCTTGCAGGGCTCTATCACCAAGCCCAACTTGGCAGGTATTTTTTTTTTCTAAAGAGGAAGAAAAGACAGTTGATAACTTGTTTGGGGACATGTGACGAAATTTAGTAAGCACAGCAAGGGCCCCCTGAAGAAATCTGGTATCAGCTAACATGTGGCCGGGGGTCAGGGCAACGGGGAGGAGCCGTCCAACAGCTGGAAGGAGCAGCAATGAGGAGAAAGGACAGCGGGAAGCCTTGGTGCACTGGCCCCCAGGAGGGTGCTTCCTGGCAGGGGGGGTGGGCAGTAGCCCCCAAACCAGCTGAGCATCAGAGGAGCCAAGGACAAAGAGGAGGCCCTGGGCCGCGTAGGGCAGTGTGACCCAGACAAGGTCAGTTTCCATGATTGGGCAAGGTCAGAACAAGACACATTCAGTGAGCAATGATAAATCCCTGGAAGAGTTTTCCTTTAAGCAAAGAGAAGGAGAAATAAATAGTAACAAAGGCTAAGAGCAAGCTGACTTCATAACTAGAAAAGTGGTGTTTGGTGATCAGTGGGAAATAGCTACACAGAGCCACAGACGTGGGAATGAGATGAGGGCCATCTCCCAGTAACGGGGAAAGGGGAGATCGTGCTGTCCACAAGAAGCAAGCTCTGTCCTCACTGGAAGCCGAGGTGGTTCCCCAGAGTAACAGGATGCACGCCGGGGAGGGGATGGGCTGTGATGTGATGTGTGTGTATGTGTATTTTTTCTTCTTAATTAACATCTTATCTGAAGTATACTGGCAGAAAGTGCGAACGCCTGAAATGCACAGCTCTAGACGTCAGGCAGCGCCTGGGTCAGGAAACCTTACCCGCAGCCAGTGTGCTGCGTGCGAGCCTTTCTGTTGTTTCCCGAGCTGCTGCAGGTGGCTGCGGTCCTAACTGTGGACATCACCGATGGTTCTGCTTCTTCCTGAACCTGGCAGAAGTTCCATGCTCTTTTCGGCTCCATGAGCACAGCATTCTGCTCTTGCCTTTGACTTAGGCAGCACGTAGCCACAGCTCAGCGATTCCTGTTGCTGTGAATTCCATTGTATGAAGATACTGTGGTTTAGCTACTATGTGGCTGTGGAATGTTTACATTGTATCTTTTCTCTATTGGGAGTTGTAATCCTATGAATCTTCTTGAACATGTATTTTTAGTGAACATACGTATAGATTTTGTTTTGTGCGTATGTAGGTGTGAAATTGCTGGCTTGTAACGTGTACATATGTTCATCTGTAGTGAGTAATGTCACAGTTTTACAAAATGATCTACCAATTTACACTCCCACTAGCACTATGTGGGAGTCACATTTGCCCCATCTCCTTGCTAATATTACTGTCATTACAACCACAGGAGTGGCGGGCTGATGGCGCTATCAGATTGAGGCTTTAATTTGCATTGCTCAGATGACTAATGATGTTGAGTAGGTTTGCATATGCTTTGAAGAACTTCTGTGAATTTGTTTCTCAGTGAGATAGAGAGCAGGATAATTTTATGAGACCGATTGATGATGGGAGAGGAGATATTGGAGGTTTGGAGAAAGAGGTATAAATAATTGCTTCATGTTGAAAATTTAAAGAGTACCCAGGCCAAGGTAATAAAATGGGACACGGCAGCCCACACAGCCCAATGGCATGAGAGAAAGTGAGTTTATAAAGAGATCACCCACCTTCGGCTGCAGGGTGCAGGCAGAGTAGGCAGAGCAGGATCTACCCAGGGCTGACACTTGTTCCAGGAAGCACGAGAGAAGGGGAGGGGAGTGGTCATTATGTGGCACGGACTGATTGTGAGGTGGCCACGCCATCCAGCCTGGGCAAGGTGGGAGGGGAGGGGGGAGAGGACAGCGTAATGCTGGAGGTGCCAGCAGAGGGTCCCGTCTGTGAGGCTTGGGAGTGCTTTGAAGTGAGGCACACAGGAGTCTCGTAGAGGTTCAAGAACAGTGACAACTGAGTTCACCAAATACTGAATGTGCTGAAGTTCCTGGTAGTACTGTGGAAGGTGAGATTTAAGGGACTGAATTTGGCACCTGTTGCTAAGGCGGAAGCAGCTAGGCTTAAGGCAGGGAGGGGGTGTCGATGATGGTGAGGAGCCTGGAAGGCAGCCAGGTGGCTGGAAACTATTGTTCCTCTGCTCCAGGGAGCCTGGCCCTCATCAGTGAGCCATGAGGACTACAGGAAGTATCAAAAACCACCTTTAATAAGCACATCTTCCTAGAACACAAAAGTAGGGAGAATGGGACCACAAAACTGCCAGGCACCCACCGCTGGCCAATCTGATGCTATCTCCACGCTTCCCTAACCTCCACCAGCCTCAACTCAACTGAGCTAGTCTAAAATAAACTCTACCCTACTATTTCATTTACTACTCAGTATGTATTTAAATTAAGACAGGACATGAATATGATTTCTAAGCACAAGTTATCATGCTAAGTAATGATTCTCTGACTCATGGAACACTGCACAGGTTTTGCGTTTCCTCTACTGGCTCACGATTACATGGGTTAGGTGAATCATGACTGATACGGTTGATACATTGCATAAATCCCCAGCCTTCTTGGTTCTATCAACAGATAGTCAAATAGATAGTTTTGACCATTAAATCTTTTAGCGCTTTGTCTTCTGTATTTTTATCTTCTGTTTGGTTTTGCCACAAGGTCTCAGCAATGGTCCACAGCAGCGACAGGGAGAGGGCGATGTGGGCACTTCGTGGGCCAGGCAGGTACCGTGCCCTGCATGTGACCCACAGTCAGCCCCGAGGGGGCTTAACTTGTCGGCTTCCTCTCCTTGCTGGTCTTGAGATTAACTTAACTCCCCTCTCACACCCGCTCTTGGGCCAGATGGGTCTCTCTGTGCTCCACGGTCCTGATGCTCAAGTGTCAGCTCGGGGGACAGTTGCTGCTGAGCAGGGCAGGACAGGGAAGAAGCGATGGGGCTTGGGTAGAGCAGACAAATGTGGGGTAGCAGGGTACTTTTTAAGATTAACGATACTGTAAAATATACCATTATGGCTGATGCAGACAATGTGAGATGCCTAGAAGTTTAACCAAGCTGCTCAGCTGGCGGCTGGGGCCTCACTTTGTGAACATCCTGAGCCTGAGCAAGAGGAGCCACCTGGACGGTGTGGGTGCTGCACCTGCCCTGGGGTGCAGTGGGCGGCCTGCTTACAATATAAGGGAGGAGAGGCTCATGCTCCTCCCACTTTTGCTCTTGCTGCTGTGTTGTTCCAGCTACCTTGAAGGTTGCCCCATTTGCCTTGGGGTCAGCTGATAAGGAACTGAAACTGCCACAAACTGAGGGCTACATAAACCTTCCCTTCATTTTTGAACTCTGCATTTTGCAAAACTGAGTCTACACCCATTAAACCACTGTCTACTCCTCCTCCCCAACCCAGCAGCCACATCCCAACTTTAACTGCTCTGAACCTGACCCCTCGGTTCCTGGCAGATGTAGAAGTGTGCAGCACCCCTCCCCTGTGACCGGACTATTCAAAAACCATCATGTGTCTCCACCACTTGTCTATCCACTCACCCTGATTTTTGAGGAGCTAGCACACTGTTTTCGGTCTTCCAATGCCATCCGCAGTGTCCTAGAGGTCACACAGTTCTCTCAATAGGAGCCTGCTAACTGATGAGGAGGTCAGCAGTGCATTAAAGACTTAGGCTTCCAGCTGTAGTTTTTAAGTCTGTGGGATTCCTCCCTATAGATCCCCCAACTGCTTTTAAATTTTTTATCAGCTGGTGAGGTACTGTGGTTATCCTGCTTGGAATTACACTTCTTTCCTGTCACCTTATTGTTTTAAATCAGCCAAACAGAATGTCTGAGATGAAATCTCTCTGACATGAAGCCTTAACTGGGTAAATTAACCACACCGGTGTTAGCTGCCCATATTTTCACTTAGTCCATAGGATACTCCTACATATGTACAGCGGGGGCTGAGCTGCTCAGCTACTCAGCAGTGCTATGGAAGACAGACTATTTCTGTGTAGTCCAGGCTTTGGAGAGCTCTACTTCACTTTCTTCCTGATTGAATGCTTGGTCTGAGAAAAGCAGATCCTTGTCATTTCTTATGGGTGTTACTGAGGAGACAGATCCATGTTTGAGTTCCGTCCAACCGGGACAGTTCTCATCCATAAGCCTCTATCTGTGGCCACAAGGTGATGTCCTGGCCAGAAGGTCCTGGCAAACATGGACAGCTATGTTCCTGACCAACCTGTTAACGCACTGATTTCCCAAAGAGATTTTCTTGATCTAGAGCTCTCATTCACATTACTCCCCTAAGCCAGAATAATTTTACCTCCTGATTACTATCTTTCTTGTACATTTTAGCTTTGTTTCACATTTCTCACCCTTTTAAAGATGCCCCTAGGAATTTTCCTGCCCAGCTGTCAAGGCCTCCTGCAATCTGCTCTCATTCTACAAAAATCAGTTTCCACTTCCCCTTACCATGGACTGGCACCACTGAACCAAATCTCCCAAAGGTGCTGCAGATTCCTTCTCTAGCAAACTCATACTCGTCGTAAATCACAGCATGCATGTACCTCAGATCGTAAATACCACACACTCCAAAATCTCAGGCTTCAGTATTCATAGCAATGTGTAATCCACTCAAACCTGAAGGCAATGTTGTGATATCTACCAAGAAATGAAATACTCACTTCTCCCACCCCTGAAACCAGCTGGCAGTAGGTCACGATGAACAAGCTAGTCATCTGAATTAAACCCAAGGAAGAGGCTATTCTTTGTCTTCTTTTGGGTATCAAAAGAGCACAAAGCTGTATATTGGCTGTTATCACAAAAGCTCCGCTTTTTCATGGTTCTCACAGTAGACTATTGTTCTCCTCTTGCACGTAACAGGCAACTAGGCTGAAATCCCGGTGCCTGTGGCTAGGGAGAGCTCGAAACAAAGTTCTTGGCATGGCTCTCCTCTAGTTTCAGGAAGGTGTACATCGTGAGAAGACGAAGACACACACTGCAGGTTAGTCATGGGAGGGTTTGTATATGCAAATAGAGCTGACAGGACAGTTAGGCTTGGACTTGTGCATTCCCACCCAGAAGCAGAGGTGTCATAATCCTAGCACTGAGGCAGGAGATTGCTGCAAGTTCAAGGCCAGCCTCAACTACATAGCCAGACCTTGTCTCTAAAACCCCAAACAAGCCAACCAAAAGCAGACGGGTATATGGTGGCTACAGCAGCAGTTCTGACTGAAGAAATGTGGTTCTGACCCAAGGTATTTCATGGCAGTTACCTGTATAGTCCAGTACCTGAGTACCACAGCTGACCCACGTTTAATCAGCCAGAAGCAAAAACCAGTCCTGTGACAAGGATTGTCTCCAACAACATGAGCTTCCGAGCAAAGCTGTAGGTACAGATCCCTTTGGAACACAGCTGTGTTTAAAGGCGTCTGGGCCCCATTGCTGCGCACGTTTTCCTGTCCTCGTGCCTGGCATAGAACAAGAACTAAGTGTGCAACAGCTCATGAAGGACTGTTCACTTGGAGAATGCCACTCAACAAGCTGACTGCGATATAGCCATTCAACATGGAGGTGCAGCTGGCACGGGCAAGGCCGGATTTCCAGGACACCCCACTCTTCCCTTGGGAGACACAGGCATCACTGTTCCCCAGGTTTTGTGTGTTGTTCTTGTTTCTACATGTATTTAAATACGCGTTTGAGAGGCCAAGATGGAAGAGATCAAAATGGGCTGCACTCAGCTGAACTGGGTTTATTCTGCAGGATGGGAGGATTCTGACTCTGACAGGAAGTGTGGGAAAAGCACAGGAAGGAGCGTAACGCGTAACTAAACAGGGACCCCTGCTTCCGCCCCTTCCTCAAGCTTGCCTGTGCACACTGTGTGAGGGTTGGCAGTGGGGGTGAGGACTGGGAGGAGAAGACACAGGAGTGTGCCCCAGGGTGCCAGAGCCAAGGCCCACACCAAGTGCTAAGGAGGTAACAGAGGTATGGGCCCGGGAGGGGGGCCCTGTTCCAATTTGCAGACCCCACCAGGAAGCCTGTAAGGGGGCCGGCGCTTTGGTCAGCTCACTGCTGTTCGCTGCAAGTGCACCAACCCCACCCACTCACAAACCTCCAGGTGTCCAAACAGGCTGTAACCCCAGCCCTCGCCTCCTTTCCCTGGGCTGTGCTACAGTTACCAGGAGTCCATAGCGCCAACCCTACACTGCACTTCCTTGAGCCTTAGTGATCTCACTAGCAGTGCACTGCGCTCTCAGCCACTGTTTTAACTTCCACAGCAAGGCCTGAGTTCTGACTGACACGAAGAATTCTTACAAGTTGCCTTTGGTAACTGTTTTTCATCAGATAACATAACTGATGAAACTAACGACTATTTTTATAGCACTGGGAATTGAACTCAGGCCCTTTGCCCTTAGCTGTTTCTGTAGCCCTTTTAAAAAAAGTTTTTGAGACAGGGTCTTGCTAAGCTGTTACACAGTCCAGGGTACGTGCACTTGCAATCCTCTGCCTCAGCTTCCAGAGCGTTGGTGTGACAGGTGGGGACCACCATGCCTATTCTAACATGACTCTGTTCAGATGAACGGGTTTTTTAAGTTCCTTTGTAAGGAATATGGTACTTTCAAAATGCTGATCTAACACCTTTATAGTTCTGCTTAACAGCTGTGTCAGTTATTTACACTAAATTTTAATATGAATTTATTAAAGAATGTTTTCAGGAGGGCTACAACCTTTGATCTGTCGTTAAAAAAAGTTACATTTCTTCATGCTTTATAATAAAGGTAATGTAAAATTGTAGAGTTATAAGCATTTTCCCGCAAGAATTCTGAGAGTATAGCACAGTGTAATCATTTTGCAATGCTAGAATAAATAAAAAGTCTCTTCTATGCTTCTCTTCAAAAGCGATGAATAATTGCAGATGGCATAAAAAAGCCACTTTGTAAATTCATTCTGTAGTATTGGAGCCAGTATCTAGGAAACAGGAAAGAAAGTGTAAATTCAAGAAGCAACTTACTTTTAACGAAACTAAGTTAAGAATATAAAACACAAGTGGCAGTGGCGGCGGAGGCAAGGCTGAGGGGCGTGCTGGTGAGGGGACAGTCACATAACAGCCTCCTTTCAGGCAGGGACAGAGACAGCTCCTGGCCGTCAGCGCTGAGTAGAGAGGGCCCACCCTGCACTCCCTACGTCTGCCTCACATGAACCTCACACCCAGTGTTTTCAGGTCCTCTCCTATCTTCCTGGTGAGAAACTGACCAAAATTTAGCTACTGCCACTCTTCTCAGCTTCTGTACCAGCTTCTTCTACTGGATTTCAGAACGCAAACTCTGAGAAGAAAATGAACTTACTTTTTTGTCTTTTTCTTCTTTTTTTATCGGTACCAGGGATTGAACTCACGACCACACAGTTGCCAGGCATTATGCTGCTGAGCTAAATCCCCAACCCCAAAAATGAACTTACTTTGCAGCAGCACCTTATCCATCTGCCCTCACTGAGGGATTTTCTTCATTATTTAAACTTATCTGTAGTTGTCAATGCCAAAATATTTATTTATTTTAATTTTGGAAAACATTTCCAATACTGTATCCTTGTGTAATGATACAGGCAAGCAGAATTCAATCGAAGCATTTCTGAAGTATTCAATTCCTGAACTTCGCTGAGAGAGAAGCTCGCCACATGCCACTGAAGTAGGTAAGGAGACTCAATACTTCTCAAGCACTGAAGTTTGGAAATAACCTTGCAACCTTTAGTAAAGGCAGCACACTAAGGGCCGCGGGTCAAGCTCTTTCAAGCACCCTGCACAGTTATTTATATAAGGACTCCCTGGTGTTACGTTTGCTCAGATGCCTTCTTTCCTAGCTGAGGTTCAAATGACCAAAACTCACATTTTACCAGTTTATATCTTGTGCTGTCAGAGACAGCTGCAACATGTGGTTATTCGCCATTAAATTAATTCAGATTAGCTAATAAAACTAAAACATTAAGTTTTCAGTAGCCCTGGTCACACTTTATGTACTCAACAGCCATGTGTAAGTAGTGAGTAATGCAGAACTGAACATGTTCATTACAGAAAAAGTTCCCAGCAGTGGGGGCAGACGTCATCTCGTCCTGACAGGTATTCAGGAATTATAAATGATGTCTCCACTCCATAGCCCAGTAAAAGCTTAGCAACCTAAGGGTTATGAAGATGTCATATTAAACTACAAGAAAAAAATTACACATTACTTCAGATGGAGAAGTATTATTATTCTGGGCTGGGGATTTAGCTCAGCGGCTCAAGCACTTGCCTAGAGGTTGCAAGGTCACGACTTCAAACCCGACACCAGAAAAAAAAAAAAAAGATACTATTAATTTCTCATCTAGGAAATGGCAATTCTACAAGAATTAAAAGAAACAAAGAAAAAGGCTCAAATATACAAAAAGAGATCTTAAAATATCTGATGACTTCTGAGCACTACATGAGTCAATGTCATGCAGCCAGTTTCATAGACTTTCTGACATCTGGAAGAGACTAGTTCTTAAAAAAGAGGTGAAGGTGTTATTTTATGCAGTCATTAGAAATCAGGTTTAAGAACATATTTAACTTGTGTGAAAAAAGAGAATACAAATTTGTCTCCATGCATACATGCATTACTGGAAAAAGACTCATGAGTCTTTGCTATTAAAAAGCAGTAACTTCGGGGCTGGGGATTTAGCTCAGTGGCATAAGTGCCTGCCTTGCAAGCAGGCAGTTGTGAGTTCGATCCCTGGTACTGATAAAAAGAAAAAAGACAAAAAAAAAAAAAAAAAGCAGTAACTTTTATTTCCTGGTAATGTTACAGATGATGTTTTTCTTTGGTAAAGTTTTTGTATTTTCTACATTTCTTTGATAACAGGTATTTCTTTTGAAATTCAAAAATCAGAAGACAAAAAACCCCAACCTATTATCCAACAAATGGGTTATTATTTTCTACATTTCTTTTTGTCTTCTTAAAACTTCCTTCCATAGAAAGCAAGTCTTTTCTACTTAATATCAGGAATCACTGCCTTAAAAACAAGTGGTTTCAACTGCAAAGTAAAAGTAAGCACATATTTAAAATATGATCAACCAAAAAGAAAATCATGGAACAGAAAGCAGAGATCTATGATTTTTGAAATACTTCAGGACCCAAACAAGTTCCTAGATCTGCTGTGGAAAAGGTGTAACAGATTAAAGGAATGTATAGTTATCATTATGACCACTAAGATCTTATGGTTTAATTTAAATAAGCTTTAAAATAATTAACTTTTAAAATACAAAATGTGTACATATATTGCAACAGAGAAGCCCTAAAACAGGAAAGGAAAACATTAATCTGCTTATTTTCTTTTCCAGGTAAACTCAGTCTGCGTAAACACCTTCTCTATGTGTTGTCTGAAACATGCATGCACCTAGTCAGTCAGAGGATTGAGCTGAAAATCGGAATGGAGCTGAAGAGAAGCCAGGTCTGCACCTGACACCTGCTCATGGGGCCATTTTCCTCTGTGGGCTTTTCAGAAAGATGACAATGTTTTAAAGACACCAGAGGATGGCAAGTGGCTTTGCTCTCACAGTGATTAGGCCAACACTTACTTTTACCATCGCACGCCACAATTTTCACTTTATCCACTTTAATAAGTTCTGTCACCTCTCTGAATTCAACATCGTTCAGTACAAAAGTCCACACGTTATCGCAGAATCTGTATGTATTTAGAGAGCCCTTCAAAACAAAACACGCATATGTCATGAAAGTCATCACTGTATTTCTCTTCAAAGCAATTCAAGAAAACTTAGGTAAAACAACATGTTTAAGCTTTGTTTCACATCTTAAGCTTTGCTTAAGATTTTCTTTAATTTTAATTCTATTTTCTTTAAAAAAAATAAGCACAAGAAAAATTTAGAAAAATTAAGTTAGATTTTTTTTGGCACCAAACAAACCTACACATTGCTTGGAATGAAGAAAAGCAGAATGTAAACAGTTTGTACTTTTACTGCCCTCATGTGGTTAAAGTATGAAAGTCCGTCTAAATTTTTTATAAGGTTACTATATTATTGTGTATGTTAATTCTCTAACCTTGTACAAAAACAGCAGTTTTTTAGAAATGTTAAATCAGTTTTGACCTTGTGTCTTAGATACACCATTGTGTTAACCACCAACATTACCACACTCTTTTCTGTGCAGCTCTCTTCTAGTACTTAATTTTTAAACTAAAATATACTTGAACATTAAACTGTAAGAAATCTCATGTATAGGTATCAGCCTCTCATGATGAATGTAATCATTATCCACTACAAACATGTGCCAATAAAAAAAGGCAACTGTGAAGACTGTGGTAAAGAACAAGGACCAACACAAACAGAATACAACAAAAGCCGAGTTACAGGCCAGGTGCCACAGGACACCCGCAATCTCAGCACTCAGGAGGCTAAGGCAAATGAGTCACCACGGTGAGTCCAGCCTGGACTACACAGCCAGTCTGAGGTCTCAAAAACAAAACAAAACAAAACAAGAAAACACACATACTTACATTCGCATGTGAAATTTAGTCTGAAACCAGACTAAATGGTGAAAATCTTTAATACAGGAAACAGCACTAGTTGTAATAGCAGAAACTGGATTCAATCTAAATGTGCTTCAAGGTAAAATGAAGATACAGTGACCGCTAGGAATGATTACAAGTAATTACTGTGGGTGGCCTCTGCTGGGCTGAGGTACTAAGCAGGGAGACTGCAGTATATAACAGCACTATGGGAGACCGAGTCACTAGATAACAATGGGACACAGAGTAGAGAAAGCCTTTCTCAAAAGTGGATGCTGAGTCTTGAAAAACAGCAATCAAAGGACAGTGACATGGTAGATGAAGCCCTCAGAACAGGACACGTCCTTCTAGAGAGCAATGTTTTAGGATGAAGGGAAGGAGATCCTGGGGAAGGCTGGCAGGCTCTGGCCGATCCTAACTCGGTGGGGGGCCTGTTTCACCCTTACAGGGGTGGGGTGAGCAATGCAGGAGTTCAAGCTGGTGAGTCACACAGCTTACGTTTTGGAGAGGCATAACATGAAGAGTGGCCTGCAGGGGAACACAGCTTTGGCAGGGTCACCAGCAGTGAATATCCCTTAACCAGCTGTATCAGAGAGGTAGAAGCAGCAAAGGAGCAATAGAAAGGGGCAATTTAAAAGGTAGAACTGACAGGACTTGACAACTATGGATAAAATGGGATGGTAACCCCCAAACTTCTGACTGGAGCTACAGCAGGTTCACAGAAAAGCTGGCTTTGCAGACACTTACACCTGCAGGCTGCTCGTGATTGACATGACAAATACGTAAATGAGGATGTCCAGTCAACACTAGAGTGCAGGCCAGGGAGGATGCCAGCCTTTACAAAGGTCACAGACAGCCCTTCAGAATGCCAAGAAGGGATTACCCAGGGGCCTGGCAGAAGAGGCCAGGGATGGGGAAAAATGTAAGAGTGCGGTTTCAAGGAGGCCTGAGTTTCAAAACACAAAGGGGTATTTGTGCACCAGATTTAGTGACATGTACTTGGAAGAGTAGTCTCAGTGTAGTAGTGAGAGATTAACACATGGAAGAACTACAGACGACACATTGAGTGGAAAAGAAACACAAATGTGAAACGTACATTTAAAAATTAGATCTAGCTGGGCACAGTGGTGCATGCTGGAGCTCCAGTGCAGATGTGGGAGACTAAGACAGAGAGCCATGTGCTTGAGGCCAGCGTGGGCAGTTGGCTGGCAGTTCCTGTCTCAAAAACAAACCTACATCAAAGACCAAAGCCAAAACTCTTTTTCAAATCTATCAGAAAGATTCAATCAGCTCCTTTGCTCCTCTGCGAGGCAAAGCTGGCAAATGGCAACTTAATTCTCTTTTTCCTTTTTTACTGGTACCAGGGATCGAACTCATGACTGCCTGCTTGCAAGGCAGGCACTTATGCCGCTGAGCTAAATCCCCAGCCCCGGCAACTTAATTCTCACATCTGGCACCTGAGCGTGCCTGGGCCCAATGGCCCTGCACCTGGGAAGTTACCCACGGCCAGTCCCCTGACAGAGCGTGGTCCTGAGGTTCCGGTAAGGGAGTGACATCCACCTCCAAAGAGAAGCTGAGCACTGCAGGAGTCACCTGGAGGGAAGCATCTTTTGTCCCCAGTACTGGGGATCAAATGCAGGGGTGCTTTATCTCTGAGTTACATCCCTACTCTACTCATATTTTTTTTTTTTTTTTTTTGGTACTAGGGATTGAACTCAGGACCACCCGCTTGCAAGGCAAGGTGTTTATGCCTCTGAGCTAAATCCCCAGGCCCTAAACCTTTTTTTAAAAAGTTATTCAGACACGGTCTTGCTAAATTGCCCAGATGGGACTCAAACTTGCCTCCTGCCTCAGCCTCCTAGGGGATTGTGGGTGTGGGCAACCACACCCATCTGAAAAATCAACTTACATATGCTGAAATTTTTAGTGTTAGTATAAGTTTTTGGGTGTCAGGCAGGCACTTACGCTGCTAAGCTAAATCCCCAGCCCTTAGCATATGCTTTGATTTAATCGAGAAAACAAAATGTTACAAAACTTTACTGTCAAAAAGGGTTAACTTTATGTTATAAATTAAATTTCTCCTATATTCTCATTAAAATAAATGTATGAGTAACATAATTAAGGGAGTATAGTCACTAGATAACTTTTGAGATATTAAAGGTCATTTTTTCATTTATTTTATTTTTTTTAATTGGTACCGGGGATCGAACTCATGACCATGCTCTTGCAAAGCAGGCGCTTATACCGCTGAGCTAAATCCCCAGCCCCTAAAGGTGATTTTTTAAACGTTTAAAAAACGATTAATGACATAAATCTAATCTTTTTAGAATAACTTTGTAAACTAGAATCGCCAATAAGTAATAACCTTTATATAAGGTTTAGTTATATCTAAGTATCTTGCTTTTTTCTACTTCAATACAAGCAGACTCTACTAACTCAAGTATAATATATGGGCTGAAACAATGATTACATTTTAAAAAGTTGTTTCTGTAAGATAGTTAGCTTTTGTCAAGTACTGATTTTAACACTTAGTCAAGTAGCCAAATTGTATCTTCAAAGTATCTCATAGCGGTCAAAACAGTGTACACATCAAGAAAAGAAAAGCTTGTATAAACAGTTTAATAATACTAAATGTACTGAAACTTCATGAGATTAATACAAATTACCTTCGATCTCTAATTATAAGAGGTATGCAAAATGGTGGCCGTTAGCTTTCAGACATTTATTAGTATGGTGAACTGCTGAAACGTGTATACATTTTTTGGCAGACTCTTATCTATTTATTTATTAAAATTTCCACAACCAGGCAACATTGTTTTGTTTAAGGCTAATGTAACATTTTAAAAGTTACACAGTATATGCTAATTGTAAAAATATCAAAAATTATACAGGAAAAAGAAATTGCTAGTCATTAGAAAGGCTATTTTTCTTGACTATTAAATCTTTTAAAGCATGCTTTATTACTTGAAGCTATCATAATATATAAGTAGTAAATACTTCTATCTGTGGGCCTATAGTCCCTCAAAAGCATACAATGGATTTTTAAAATTCTTGTTATTAATATTAGTTCAATATAAATTTTCTCTTTAAAAATAAATCCAGTTCAAGTTCTTAATATACTTATTTTGATGTTTTTACTGGTGAATTTCAAATTAAATTTGAAATTCAAATTTCAAATTCATCTCTCATTCATCTCATTTTCCCTATAATATCCTACCTGCTAAATAATCTCTTATACAGAATTTATACATGGATTTAAAACAAAAAATTAACATGTTATATAAAACTACTCTATTTTCTTTAGTGGGTGCTTAATCTTTTATAGGCACACAAGAATTACTCTAAGAGAAATGTCTGTAAATATCCAGCAACGTGGCTCTGAAAATTGGTTAACTATATATTATTTTATTTTTGTTATATGCTACATTAAGCTAAGGAGAATACTACTGTACATATTCTAGACTCAAAACTGATCAATTCAGGGGGACAGGGTGGCAAAAGCCTTAATGACAGTAGCAGTGGGTAAAGAAAAATGAATGGAAAAGAAAGTCTTGATCAAGTCTGGGTAATTGTAATGTCCAGAAAATAAACAAACTGACAAAACATGGAAGAGAAAGGCCAAATGTCAAAATACCAGTCACTTTAGCCAAAGAGATGCAAACTAGAAACCCATGAGAATGCAATGGAAGACTGTTTGGGCCTTGAGAAGCCTACTGTCTCTGGGAAGTGGTCCAACATATTTTGCACATGGGCAAAAGTTTATGTATCTGTGTCGGGCGTGATGGCTCACCCCTGTAATCCCTGCACTCGGGAGGCTGAGGCAGGAGGATCTCTGTGAATTCGAGACCAGCCTAGGCTACAAAGTGAGCTCAAGGCCAGCCTGAGCTGGATAGCGAGACCCTGTCTCAAAGACCAAAAAAAAAAAAAAAAGTTTATGTATTAACACGGACCAATTCAGAAGTAAAGGATGAGGGGCCAGCGGATGTAGCTTAGTGGTAGAGCACTAGCCTGCATGCTCAGTTACACACAAACTGTCCTTCTCTATCTATCTATCTCATAAAAAAGGGATCAGGGTTCAAATGGCAAACTGGGCAGCTTTCTATAACATAAAATATCAAGGAAATTTGTCAGAGATTATTTATTCAAGAATCAGGCTGGGAATGTAGTGCAGACAGCTTGCCTAACTTATATGAAGTCCTGGACTTGATCCCCAGCACTACAAAAATAAAAAGCAAAGAAAAATCAAGAATCCACCAGTCACATTTTATACTCTCAAAACAGTCTTGATCAGTGGACTCTTACTGATCTGAGACATCTTTCATTTCAGGGAAGTTTTAGGCATATGAAACTCATAGACTTGGGGGCTGGGGATTTAGCTCAGCGGCATAGGTGTGCCTGCTGTGCAAGCAGGTGGTCGTGAGTTCGATCCCCGGTACCGATAAAAAGGAAAAAAGTCAAAAAAAAAAAAAAAATCATTTACAAGAAACTCATAGACTTTGAAGCCTTCCTACTTTTTCAATTCTGCATTTTCCGTATGAAGGACAATGCAAGCCTTGAAATGTTTATTAAATAAATAACTTTTTCATTGAATATGTAACGTCCACAACAAAACCTCTCCAAATCATAACACTGAGTCTCTCAGTGCAAGGTAATCCATAAGCTCTTTTCATGTACTAATCTTCACAGAGTTTAACCTTCCAATTCCCACATTAGGGTTATGCCTTATAACAACATAAGCATTAACATTAAATATGATAATAAACAAATCACACTACAATATGGGACTATCTATAAAGTTACTGTGGTACAACTGTTTTTGTTCTACCATCTTTCAATAAATCCTTAATACAAAACTGCTACAAAATTGAGAGAGAGAATTTTATATGACTCTTCAAAGAGAAAGTGACTTAAACGAGGCCAAGTTATGGAAACAGCCTGTTAGTTCAGGTTTTTAAAAGCCAGGTCACCCAGAAGTAGGTGGAAGGCCACAGTTTCTAGAAATAACTGTACTTCCCTGGAATGAGTGAAAGCCAGAGTTAAAAACATAACTGAACCTCAGGGATTACCCTACTACTTAACTGCAATCCTGTCGTTAGTGTTTTCAGGGATTGGAAATCTCATTAATTCTTCTGGGAAGATAGCCAAACAGCTCATGTGTGAAACAATGCAATAAAAATCTCAAAATAACTCTCTAAGTCCCTTTTAAGTGCATGAACATAGCACACAGCTGATTTAAAAGTAAAGTATAATTTAGTCATTACAAAACAAGTTCTGATTAGCCATTTCTTCCTCTTACAATCAATAAATACGTAAGGGCACTAGAAAACACTGCTTAAGAACTACTGGTGCAGGCAGGCTTTGGATTTAGTAAAATATCCTTACCCTGAAATTGACTCTGTTCCTGACCCTCTGCGCCAGTGCTGAGTTTATAGCCTTATCAAACTGAAGCAGAACTTGGAGGGCAAGTTGGGGGGTGATCTGTTGAGACTGAGGAAAAATAAAGGTCATAAATCCTCTTAGGCATGAACATTAAGGACACAAATAAAACTTACAAATGACTACTTAAATCTTAACTGAGGGTATCTAAAGCCTGTAAACCAGAGCTCCTCATTCTCCACTGCCTTAACTGACAATGAAGAAGCAAAGTCTGAAAATACTTTCTGAATTATCTCCACATGAAAAGATTATTTAAAAAAGGAGACATAGTGATTTTAAAAGCCAGAACAAATCTATGTCTTTTTTTCAGTGTCTGAAAAGAGATGTTCCATAAAATAGGGGAAATCAAGCTGTTTCTAAATGTGAAAAAAATTAAATCTTACTTAATTCCATGTATCAATATCAAAACAAACAGAAATATTTAATATATTCTCAACCGGGCAATTTAAACAAAAGATTAATTCTCCTAAAACTGAAATATAAATTCAAATTCTAATTTAAGTCTCAAAAGGTTTAATGGGCTTCATTAAGTTATTACCATTATTGTATGGTACTCAAAACAGAATCCAGGGCCAGGGCTGGGGATTTAGATCAGCAGCATAAGCACCTGCCTTGCAAGTACGAGGTCGTGAGTTCGATCCTTGGTAGCAAAAAAAAACAAAACAACCCAGGGCCTGACCTCAGCTGCATCCCAGCCCTTTTTAATTTTCCCCTCTGAGGCAGGGTCCTGCTGAATCGCTGGCTGTCAAGATGGGCTTGAACGTGTATCTCCCAGTCTGCCAGAGTGCGTGGATTATATTTGTGCACCACCTTAGCCAGTGTGGGCAAAATTATTTCTAAAGCTACCAGAACATGCCTTCTTCTACATATAAGACGCAAGTCACCGATTTTAACTTTTAGTAAGAATTGTAAAGTGTTTGGCTCATTTAGCTGTGCAGTGCTGTTGTCCTCGAATTTCATTTCAGCCAGGACAGCAGACCAAGCAGGCCTTGCACCTCCCCACCGCTCAGCCTGTGTACCACACCCCGTGTGAGTGGCCATGTGCGGCCTGCAGCGCTCACCTGAATAAGCTCATCGAGGCTTTCCTGAAGACTGTTTCCCAAAGTGGTATTTCTATAGAGCTGATATGCCATGGCTCAGGAGGAATGAATTACTCTTTCTTTTCAGGCTTGCATTGATATCCTAAAAAATTTAATGTGAAATTATTAGATCACACTCCAACACTATACATTATGTATGTAAGACAGCCTACTGTATATGTTCTAACAGAGAACTATTACAAGTCTTAATCACAAATTACTATATAGGGGGCTGGGGATTTAGCTCAGTGGCATAAGCACCTGCCTGCCAAGTGTGAGGTCATAAGTTCAATCCCTGGTACCAAAAAAACAAATAACAAATTACTACATAATACTTTTGGAATTTCAAGGAATAATAAATTATTTTTCTAGCCTTTTTCTGTGATTTAGACATAGGCAATGATATCATTTTAATATCTTATAGATGGTTTTTTGTTTGAGTTTTTTTCTTCTGTCTTTTGAGGCAGGGTCTCATTATGTGCCCCAGGCTGGCATCAAACATGCAGAGATCCTTTTGCCTCAGCCTCCCAAGTGCTAGGATTATAAGTGTTTGCCACCAGACCTGGCACTCTACAGAGAATCTATTATTTTTGTCTTTCCTTTTTTGCAACATTGGGGGCTGGACGCAGGGCATGTGCACTAGGCTACATCCCAGCCCTTTCAAAATTTAGAGACAGTTTTGTGTCTACTTCTCAGATGGCTGGGGTTACAGGTGTACACCACATCCTTTTTTAATTAAAGAATTTTTTTGAGATGGGATCTCAACTGATTCTTTTTTTTTTTTTGGTCTTTTTCGTTTTTATCGGTACCAGGGATCGAACTCACGACTGCCTGCTTGCAAGGCAGGCACTGATGCCGCTGAGCTAAATCCCCAGTCCCCTCAACTGATTCTTTCATCTCAGCCTCCTGAGATGCTAGTGTGAGCCAAATGCCTGGTTTCTTTACTATTTCTTTCTAGACTTCCTTCTGATTTAGTCTAGACTTTTTCTATGTACCATCCATTCTTACCGATGTCATCAATGATCCAGACATTCTTCAGCTTGTATTTACCCCTTTATTTTCCTGTTCTCTTACCACTAAGAGGATGACGATGTGGCAGATACGTTCCAAGGAAAGAAAGAAGAAAGATAGTCTCATGATTCTAAAAGCTTACACTCTAGGTGAGGGTAAGAGACTTGGAAAAGGTTAACTTCAGTAAAACATAGCAATAACATACACTGCATGCCAACAGAAGTCTGCTGACTGCGTTGGCTTGGAAAAGCTTCCAGATTCATTGAGCTATACTTTAATTGTGCAAAAAAGAAAAATCTTTCTAGGCAGACAAAAGAGAATGCAGTAAGGAAGCCATAGCTCTTGAACCATTTTAGGCAGAAAAGGTCAGACATATGGGCTTGAGTATGAGAGTACCAACAGGGGATGCAAGCTCCTGTAGTACAGATTTGACCAGGATTTATCTACCTTCTGCTTTACTCACGCATGAGATCTCTGACCCCACCGTACCTCCCTCATAGACAGGAGGATATACATTCAAGGAATATTGTAATTATTAGTTAAAACCCGGTCGGCCATTGGTGTTCACATTACACTGTCAGCACCTGATACGATGGACAACTTTTGTGTTTCTGAGACATTTCTTTGGTTTCTGGGATACCACTTTCAGTTCTTCCCTCTCATCTCACAGATGCCGCATGTCTCGCTTTCTGCTGCGGGTCCTCCTCAGCATCCTGACTTCTGCCTACTGAACTGCCCCGAATCCCCTTAGGTCTCCTCTACGTACTTCTCCCGTGGTGATTCATCCAGGCTTACGGCTTTGAATATTGTTTATCTGCTGATGGCTCCTAAATCTGTATCTTTAGTCCTGGTTTCTCCCCTGCTACCCATATATAAAACTGTCTCCTTGAGACTGAATAGAAATATCAAGCAGGAGGCTCAAATTAAATTTGCTAAAAGCCAAATTCTTGACTCTACCCGTCCAACCTTGCTATCTTCTGTCTTGTCCATCCCAGTAAGCAGTACACCAACTGGACCAGTAAACAATTCAAAGACTTTTTCTCTAACCCAGCACCCAACGAACCCTTTCAGCTATTTCTTTTAAATATAACTAGACTCTAACAACCCTACTATCTTTATGTCTCCATCACCTGCCACTAAAATTGTGACAGCTCAGTACGTGGTCTCGTTTCTATTCTTGCCTATGCCACCCACATCTTCATCCCCACAGCAGCACATCAAGACTTTAAAACATAAGCCAAATTACATTTGCTTTTTCACAACAATCAAAAGCAGCATCTTGTCTCGGAGTGAAAAATAAGCAAAACCAAAAAACCCAACCAAAGTCCTTCTGATAGTTTGTAAGGCTCATAGAATCCACACCTCCTCTACCCTCCCTGCCTTACCATCTTCCCCTCACCTTCTCCCTTCACTCCCAGTCACACGGGTCCCTGCTGCTTTTTGGTACAGAAGCAGGGTTGTGCTTGAGGGACTTGGTGCTGCCAATTTTTTGCTGTGCAAATTCTTCCCACACAGCTCACTCCAGCACCTGATTAGGACCTCAGCAGAAAGGCCCATGATCAACCTGTGAGAATAACCTCCCTTCCAACTTCACTGTTTTATTTTCACTTATACCAATAACTGAAACTGACATAAGTGAAATACGTATATGTTTTGTCTCCATCTACTAGAACACGTCCACTTGGGAAGGTAGGTATTTTTGTTCAATTATATATTTACCACCTAAAACAGTATGTAGTATGTAATCAGAAAGTATTTATTGTATGAATAAAAAACTTGGTGGTATGCCAAAGTACTAAACATCGAACCTTACAAATATATCCAAGTGGGTCAGTTTTCTACTTTACTGAGGAAACTAGAGCAACAGAAACTTTTGAACTCTTACAAGCACATCTAATTACCTACCAATATGTATCTATACCTTTAAATTCTTATCTCCTTGTCTGGTTTGTCATTGTAGTCGAACTATAAGCTTTATAAACTTATTTCCATGATTTTGGTCACATATGCCTTAATCTAGATCCTCTTCTACTACTTGTGTTCTCTCCCTTCAGTACCTTGAGGAAACTGTATCCCCAACCCCACCGCAGGTATTGAGAGCTGAATCCAGAGCCTCTGCGTTGAGCTACATCCCCAGACCTTTTGCATTCTGAGATGGGTTTCATTAACTTGTCCAAGCTGTGCTCAAACCTGTGATCCTCTTGTCTAACCCTCCCAGAGGCTAGGATTGTTAAGTATGTGCTACCAGGTTTTTTTTTTTTTTTTTTTTGTCTTTTTGAGATAGGGTTTCATTATGCAGTTCAGGCTGGCCTTGAGTTTTCAGTGACCCTCTGCCTCAGCTTCCGAATCATGGGATTACAGGCGTGTACCACCATGCCCAGCCCAACATGTTTTTTTTTTCCTTTCTTTCTTTTTTTGAGACAGTCTCCCTATGTAGCCCAGGCTGGCCTCAAGCTTGCCATCCTCCTTGCCTGAGTCTCCCAAGTGCTGAGATTCTAGGTGTGAACTGCTAAATCCAGCAACAGGGATCCTGTTTTAACAATTCAGTTGTTCCTTTTCTCCCTCATCACCAAATTTTCCTTCTCCCTGTTCATTCTCACCAGCAACCAAAGCAGTGGTTACTTTTCCTCTTGGAGAAAAACCCTAACTCATCTGTCTGAGGGCCACTCTACTTCTGTCCTCATTCACAGTAAAAATTTGTTGAGTTGTCTGCACTCACTGATTTCCACTCCTTGTTCTTTTCTCGAACTGACACAGAGTGGGCTTCTTCTGCGTCTAGCACTGTAAGGAAACAGATGGCGAAGATTATCGTGGCACTGCTAACCTGACCCTCAGTCCTCACTGGACCAGAGCACTTGACAAGGCCAATCACTCTCTCTTTGGGAAAGGGTTTTTGCTTGGCTTCTGGGACACTTCATTTTTCAGGCTGGTTCACCCTTCGTGATACTGCTTGTTGGTTCTCTTTCCCCTGAGCTCCTGTTTGATGTCGTAACTGATAGTTGTTGACTGTTTGCTGACATCTACACTTACTCCTTAGTGGTAACATTTACCCTGGTGGCTTTAAATAAACATCACTGCCTATAATTCTCAACTGACATATCAGCATAAAACTCTTTCCTTGGCTCCACTCTGCCGATGTGTTCCTAAGCCCCTGGGGAGGCTTCTTCTTTCCACCTGGAATATACTTCTCCATACTGTACTTAGTCAATTCTCCTAAAAATCCTCCATCTTTGCTCCAACAGCATCTATTCGATTAGGACTGAACTGACCACCGTAATTAAAATACCAATTCCCACTCCATTCTGCGACTTCCTCCAAGTCCTTTATCTCACTCACTCTTTTTGATGGTACCACCGCCTTTTAACACATTACAGAATGTACTTATTCCACATCTAATTTCTGCTTTCTCCAACAGAATATAGGCTTCATGGATTCTGTTCTGCTTACTGAAGTAAAGGGGGCGTCTAGAATAGTACCTGAAACACGACGGGAGTCGAAGAAAACATCTGCTCACTCGAGGAATGAAGGGAAACCTAAGTCTAAGGTGGGAGGAGGGGAGCGGTAAAGGAGAGGGAGTGGGCCCGCAAACTACGCAGAAACGAGGGTCTTGCGACGCCCCATCCGACAGCTGACTACTAAAAACGCCCGTTAGGAGCGAACCGCCCGGGCAGCGAGGCTCGTCACCTTCATCTCAGGGGCCGAGAATCCCCGCGCAGCGTTCGGCCTTTATCCGCGGGCCGGGCCGGGCAAACGCCCTCCTCCCGCCCGACTTCGGCCCGGGCGGCCCCGCAGAAACCTCCCTTTGTGGAGGAGGCCGCGGGAGGGAAGCTGGAAGGCGGACTCACCTCGCCGCCCGCCCGCCCGCCCGCCCGCCCTGGCCTGCAGCGAAGGGCCCAGCCCCGAGTCCTCCCAGGCGGCCCCAGACCCCGCCTGCCCACTCGACCTCGCTCACCAGTCCCTGCGGGAGACACTTCCCGCCGTGGACCAGGGGCCCGAAGGAGAAGCCGCCTAGCCAACCGCTTCCTCAGCCGCCGCGGAAACCACAGAACGCGGACCGCGACCCGGAAGTGCTTGAGGAACCAGGAAGTGACCCGGCACCAGAGGCCCCGCCCACCAGCTTCGCGCACCAATGGGACTAAAACCTCGGGACGGCAGGGAGGACGCTGGGTCTTTCGAGGGAGAATGCTTTTTTTTTCTTGGCATAGGTAATTGAACTCAGGACCTTGCGCTTCCCAGGCAGGCGATAATGCCGCCAATCTCCTTGGCCGAGAATTATAAATTTTACAGCTTAATCTTCTACACCGTTAGCTGCAGTCTGAGGAACGATGGCTATTCACATCTTATTCATGCTTTTTATTGCTGATATCCTTGCAACATTAAACTGAAGCCTAATTCTGAAAGTCACCGTGGAGGGAATTCTACCCCGTTCAAAAAGGGCTGCAATTAGGGTAGTCCTATAGGTTTTTAGCTCGTGATTCCTTAAATTCCATCTGGCACATTTTGAATTTAAAAGTTGCTCTTTAAATGCGAGCCAAATACTGCAGTCCTTACATCAGGACCGCCGACTGGCTTAAACGCAGCAGCTGTGCGCCTAGCTGTACCGTGGTTAAGGAGCTAGAGCGAACCTGCCCCCGCCCCCGGAAACCCCGCCGGATCTGGACTCTTACACAGGTCCTAATGTGTGCCGCGTCTTCCTTATACACTCACCCTTGGATCCTCTACTACAAAGCAATTCCCAAATATGAACACCAAGTTTAACTAAGGTTTAATCAACGTTAAAAACCAACGCAGAACTGTTCACTACACCCAGAGTATAAAGAACACTGAAATTTGAAAAGCTTATTAGCTAACTCAAGTGTAAAAATCTGTAGCATAATGAAAAAATGTGATAAAATGAGGCAAATACCGACTTTCCAATTTATTTAAATTTATTAAGGTTGGAACACTATGCAACAAATAAGACAAGTTACTGTATTCCTAAAAGGTCAAAGGAAAAGAAAATATTACATCTCCTACACTGTGTAAATCATGACCAATACTAGTATTTCTTACAGGGACTTCATCAACATTTTGCATACAGACATCAAAATTTGATTTCTCACACTGAAATGACAGTACTAGTCAACATCACTGTAATACTATAAAAAAATCACAGTAACATTTTCCAAATGACAGCATGTGAACTTGTGGTAACCAACATAGTTCTGAAATATGTATCAAAGTGCACTGATACTGAATTGTGTTTTAGGTAAATCCTGTCCCAAGGGCTGTGCAAGTGAGTGGCCCTGAATACCACCAATATTTACTAGCCTGGTGCATGTTAATAAACAGTCAAGTCATTGTAAGAAAGGGGCACTAAAGGAGCTGCTATTATCTAAGCTCTTTTGTCAAAGTAAATGTGAACAATGTTTAAAAACTTCAAAAGCAAACACAACCTTTTGCTAAATGTAAAATGTCACATGAGATGGACCCCACAGCAATCTGAAGCAAATATCATTCTTTACTAACTTGAGAGCAAACCCAGCTCTCTTCTGGTGACTGATTTGAGAAGTGCTGTGTGGGCCTCCTTTGCAGCATTTTTAGTTTGCAAAAACAACACATTAAAGATTACATACAGTTGCAATACACTATTCTTTTTTTTTTTTTTTTTTTTTTTTGGTGTGTGTGCTGGGGATCGAACTTATGACCTCACACTTGCTAGGCAACACACTATTCTACTTGGATTTTAGTGTTGGTCCTTACTGTTCCACATCCTGCTACTTGGAACTTTAAGCAAAGAAATTACTGGGCCTCTTTGGCGCTGATTAAAGTCACAACAGCATCTCAGGGGAACTCAGAACAGGGCAGGTAAAACCCCACTTCCCGCTGCACTGGGCCTTCCAAACAGCCTGAGTCCTTGGCTCTTCCTCCTAACAAGTCAAACAACACAATCCCATCCCCCGTGGCAAGATGAACTCTTCAGTAGCAAACCTACATTACTTTCTGTTACCTACTCCATCCCTCTGAAATTTGTGGCCTGTTTCTCAAATATCTGCATAGAATGGGGGAAAACCAGGTATGAAAACAAAACAGGATATAGTTCTCTCTGTTGTCAGCCCTCCTCTACCTCAGCGAAGTTAACCATCTTCTACTTACAACATGGGAAAAGGAAGCTGAAACCACCTTCTATATACAGACTTCAATGCATCAGAAACTGACATGTTCTACCAGATAAGCTGCAATTATCTGTCAGCTGAAGAAGGCTAAAAAGTCACTTCTGCATTAAGTTGCTTTTCCGAGTTCCCTGAGCACTCACACAGCCAAATGGTAATGCTACATACTCATCTTAAGCCTGTCAAGAGGTAGGCCCTTTACTCCTAACTTCTACAGTTGTGGTTGAAGCAGCTCTCGCTGTGGTTATTATTTACCGGCCAGTGGCAGATTTCAGTACTGTATTCAGTGTAGCTACTAAGTAGCGATGCCTGCTGGGAGTTTTGGTTTCTTTTCCTGCTCTTCCCTACTTGCCATTCTGGGAACTGAACCCCCAGGCCCTGGCACATGCTATCTAAGTGCTCTCCCACTGAGCGACACTGCCTGCCCATGTATTCTATTAGGGAAGCAGCATTTCTCAACTGAGAAAGAGAAAACAGTGCTAAACATGAATTTGAACACTGTAATTTTAATACAGTCTACTCAAACTTGCTTCCGTACCAAGGGACACAGAAAGCAGAGAAAAGCACGTTTGCATCATAGGTATCACCAGCCTTTTTTCCTTCAACCCACGGTCTCCTTACTGGGTGCAAGAAATGGTACCACTAGTGGGCTGCATTCCACTTCCCCCAGGAGACAGAGCCAGTGGGCACCTTAGATAAGAGCCAAGTCGCTATCCCTTTTTAAGGGTTTCTCTCTTTTCAGCTACTACTTAGAATCCTCTTTTTTCACATCCTCTCCATCCCAGCTTGAATTAATGACTACTGAGCTTACAGGTGGGCTCAGAATCATGTATTTCCTTGGTGCCTGTTTAGGAATATGATCAAGCAGCACACAGCATTGTTTCATATCTCATAGGAGAAACTTTGACTAAAAGGGGCACTCAGCTGGTGACAGAAAGAGCAAGTTAAACCATTTAACTTAAGACACTAGACCCTAATGGGAAGATAACAGAATTCTATGTAGTAGGGAATATGTTACATAGGCACAAATTACAACTACACTTGTTTCTGTCTTTTGGAGACAGGGTCTCATTATGCAGCTCAGGCTGGCCTGGAGCTCGCATTGTAGCCCAGGTTAATCTCAAACTCACAGTGATGCTCCTGCCTCAGGCTCCTGAGTGCTGGGACTATAGGTGTGCACCACCACCACCAGCTTACAACTAAATTTAAATCCTTTCTTCTAATCTACTGATTATCATCTTAAGTCTTCTAGGTTTGAAACATTTATTGTGGGCGTGTCCCCATAGCAGATCCCATTAAGGTACAGACTAAAACAGGCATCTTTTAAGATAGTGATAAGTCTGTCCCTTTCACCATAACTCACTGTTCCCACTGAGTTTTTAAATTACTCTTTGCATTTTTCAAATTCGGGGCTAAGGATTCAATGTAGTAGAAAACCACCAATTAGAAAGCTCCTCTCATTTTAAGAACATTAAAGACATACAGACATGACTACCCACAGTGTTTTACAAGTATCGCATCTAATGATAGCATGATCTACACTCACAATCCCTGTATGGTAGGTTCACCAGGCACGCCTAAGGAGTTGTTCTGTATTTCCTTCTTCAACACAAAATGTTTCTCAGATGGTGGCTTTGGCTTAAGCTACTGCAATGACGTCAGTCCAGGCTCTGCCTGAGAACTACTGCGTCCAAACCGAGAGGCCGCTGAAGAATGTTTCATCCGGAGAACCCTCCCTCATCTCCTGGTTTTAGGTCAGCATGCCACGGGTGGCAGGAGAGGACAAGAAGTAAAGGGCAAGTTCCCTTTTGTAACAGAAATTTTATACTAAAAAAGGATAGCAGTAAAGACCATGTAAATGTTTGGTACGGGAAAGAATAAACCTTGAAAGCTCAGCTCATTCCCTCTTTACTTTTACCCCTCCAGGTCACTCCTGTACAGTAACTCACAGGATGGCTGGACGGTGTGATCTTCACATATGGAAGGCAGTAAGCTTACTGCACACGTTCATGCCATTCAGGCATGTGACACTGTGGTACACCAGTCGGTTGTTTTATAGTAATTCTGTGGGTAACTAAGCTCTGTTTGGAGGTACAAACACAATTTATTTCAATGTAAAGGTAATTACCAAATGAAACAGGGAACTTAAATGCTTATATCAAACATGTTGTCCTAAACAGTATAAGAAAATGATGCTCTCAAACTTACAAAATTAATCTAATTTACAGAATCGTCAAACACGATTCGACAGAAAATATACCAAATCTCACTAGGCCAAACTACCACTGACTTCAAATAACTGACAAGGAAATATTTTGGTAAAGTGCCCACAGTGAGAGTAACTTTAAAAGCAGCCCCTGTGTCCTGCAGAAAAAGTGACAGTGAAAACATGTCACATTCTCTGCAATAAAAATACTACATGGCACTCATGCATTCAGGGGCAACATCCTGGACCCACAGCTTATTTCACATTAGTGAACAAATCCAGGATTTTTATAACAGTTCTGACTTTGGGCCAGAAGATAAAATGTCCCAAATATACATATATACAGATCCTAATTTCTAGCTTCTTAAATTCTCTAGTTCTGCAACATGGCTTTCTGACTTGTTTTTAAACGGAGTAAGTATGCAATACACTTGTATTTGCACTTTTAAGCTAAGTAACTGTACACATCAAGTGAGCCCGGGATGGTACTAATCTATTCAAGGTTATATACATTATCTTTGGATATTCTGAGAATCAGTTTAACTGTCTGTTCCCGTAGAGCAACTTAATTTTCTAAGTTACCCAGGAAATGCATTCAACCATTTACAAAAACAAAAATTCTAACATGTACTTTATGCTCTTCCACAAGATAGGTACACATTAAAAAATATTGTTCAAAAACATAAAAATATATATTATTTCTTTCCTTTGCCATTTATGCATATAAATATTTTACTGAAGATGCATTATTCAATAAACAAATGCAAAAATTGTTTTATATAAAGTATAGTTCTCTGCTATTTAGCAATAGAAAATATAAAGTGAGTACAATGTAAGTATAGTCACTGAAGAGCTAAATTCAAGAGATTCAAAAATGAAAACAGCAGTGAACAGTTCCTTGTATAAAAGTCCATTAAAAAGTCATGTTGTAACATTAAAAAGTGATTTTGTAACAGATTACAGAAAAATACAAGCCAAGAATGCAAAACAGAGCACGGATTCCTTACAGCCACATTCTTCAGTCTTGTTTGAGCTTGAGGCCAAACTTACTGTTCACTTTTTGGTTCATCTTGCTTTCCGTTAAGCTCCTGATCAACTCTGTTTAATGAAAAATACAGATTGTAAGACACAACTGTCTTTCTAAAAACTCAACAACTCTCTAAAAACAGTCACTACTTTCAGCATAGAATTATTATTCTGTTAAAAAATAAAGCTTTGCAAAAAAGCAGGCACAGTAAAAGGCTACCAAATATTATTTTTCCCAACCAAAAGAGACAACAGAACTTTAAGGCAGGAGGACGCTGGCAAGAAATCTGACTGCTGGTTTTTTAAAGGGTATAAAACACACACAAACACAAATAAACTTTCTTCAAAGTTTATGACATGTAGCTTGGCTGCAGCAGGGATCCAAGTGCTAAGAGACTGGGCAAACAACTCCCTCAGAAGTGATTTTGTTAAATGAAATACAAAAGTGTCATTAAAGCTATCGGTTGATCAATTAATACTTTTTAAAATCCAGTAATAAAAATGCATATTTATAGAAATCCAGTTGTTTTCCAAAATGCATTCATACGCTTTGTGAACATCTTTCATAAATTTTGGTAGTAAGAAGGCATGAGAATTTAACATCCAGAAATAAAATCACTGGATTAGTGGTGGGTTGGAGAGAGGCTTATCAATTTGAGGATTAGAAGAATTAGATAACACAGGAATTACAGAAAATGCTTCAAAGATAAGGTACAGCAGTCCACTAATAAATCTGCAGTGGTATGAAGACCCTTCTGTGGACGGGTTAGAACCATCTGGTATGGCCAGGCATGAGGCAGCATGTTTATAATCCTAGCACTCTGGGAGCAGCAGCAGGAGAACTGCAAGTTTATGTCCAGCCTAGAGAACTTGTCACAAGATAAGAAATAAAAAGGGACGGGGATACAGCTCAGTGCAAGGGCCCTGGGTTCAACCCTTAGTACTGCAAAAATGAAACAAACTATCTAGTAAGATGAAAGATACGTTTCACACTTGTTTCCATTACTATGATCATCAGTATCCATTACTGCGATCACTTGATCACTTAAATATCAATTAATCAGACGAAAAGCCCCCGCTTGTTGTAAAGCCAGGCTGACACCACCTTAAAACACTTCTCACACTGGTACGAAATATCTGAAAGGTACATGTTTCCTGATAAGGCATGCAATACATGTCTAATTTTTTCGCATCTAAAATATCCTGTGTACTGATACCACAATTATTTTTGAACTCTGTTGAAACATTTAAATTGCCATTTCCCCGGCCACACTTGCTCTGAGCTGTCTGAAACACTGGCGACATCTCAGCCCTCTGCTTCCACACCTATCGTGTCCTATCCTGCAGGCACCAGGTGCCTCATGGAGATGTCACCTCAAGTAAGCTCCCACACCTCTGTGCTCCAAAGTTTGGTTTTAGAAACATGTTTTTATATTTAAATTTAATTGAAAAAATTAAATTTTGTCCTCAGACTGACAAGGACTTATTTCTCAAGGGTCATTTCTCAAGAAACTGCAAAAACTTAAGAACCTGCAGGATACATGCAATATTCTAGTTACAAAAACAAAAGTCATGATACAATCAGAGTGACAAGTTTCACATAACCCATTTACTTAAAAAGGATGAGTTGTACTTTTTTCCTAATGTCTAAGTATTTTTGACAGTTGACTAAACAGTAAGAACTTAAAAAATAAAAAAAGACATAGAAAATATTTCCATCAACAAAGGCAACTTGAAATGTAAGAAGTAGCTGGCTTCAAAACAGTAGTAATTCCAGATTGTATTTTAGATTGCAGTGGCTTGTCTCACAAATGCATAGCTCTGCCTAAGAAGCACTGTAACATCTGGATGCTCTAAAATCACTGTCACTTTCTTTGTTAGTACTGGTTAAATTATAAAGTGTCACACAGAAATGTAAAGCTGCGACTGCCATGTGCTCAACTGGATTTCCACTCACCAACAGAACTGAAACGTGTTCAACATTAAGACTCTCCAGTTCCAGTTGACCTCAGTTGGCAAAAACAATACATAGAAATCTCTCAACTTAATTCTTAAAGAAACACTGTATTAAACTGTTTTGCTAATTTTTCAGTATTTTAAATATCTATTTAAGTAGATTCAAACCCTACTTTCCTAATACAGAAAATGATAATTGTCTCATACCTTTCAACTTCTATTATCAAGATATAAGTAGATTGTTATGCTTGAAGCAGAAGTATTCAAAATTAAATTTGAAACGGAAAGCACAGTGTTTAAGTGTTAAATGGTACATTGAACTTGTAGGTATTTTATCACATGTAGAATCTGGTTGGTTAGCAGGCTAATTTAAGCATACAAGGAAATCAATGTTGGTTAGCCAAAGAATATATGCACTGCAAATATAATCATCAACCCCAGGGAAGAAGAGTGATTCCTTAAAAAGTCATCTGCATAAATATTTCAAAAGCCCTACTCAGGGAGTTAAAGAAAATGGTGAAACAGTTTTAAGTGCATTTGGTATTTCAAAAGATATTTTTAGGAACTTTTCTGGTTTCACCATCAGTATTCAGACACACAGAAAGGAAGGACGAGAGTTGAACTCCCAACTGATATGACATTCAGTGGTAAAACAGGGCGGCTTTCGGTCACACTCATCGCTGGGAGTTTTGTGGTCACCATGCATTTGGAGCTGGGGTATGTTTATATTTACACGTGCTCTCATCTTTGTCTACACGCTAACCAACCAGTGAGGCAGAGTTAGTCTGTGCGATGCGAATGGACTAGTCTAGATGCAACCCCGTCAAGGTGTGCATGTACCTTTTCTGTTTCTTTTTAAACTTTTCTTCTTCATACCTTGGTAGGGAAGAGTTATTTCAGTAAATAAACATGAGATAAACAAAAACTAAAAAAGGCACTAAAAATAAATACTAGTCTATATGCAAAACCAAAAACACACTATGTGGAAAAGTAAAACCTTAACAAACCTGGCACAGATACAATGAACAGTAAAACCTTGGGATATGACCAAACTTTCCTGCTAATAGCAAGGTGAGGCTTGGGTAATTATGTTAATAGCCTTATAACACGTCTTTTAAGATAAAAGGAAGTGGGTTTTTTTTGGTTTTGGTTTTTTTTTCCTATCAGTACCGGGGATCGAACTCATGACCGTCTGCTTGCAAGGCAGGTGCTTATGCTGCTGAGCTAAATACCCAGCCCCCAAGAAAGTGCATTTGGTAAATAGAATAAATTCCAATCACTGGAATACTAGGCGCTGGGCTGATTTCAATGAAAATTTATTTCTCTGTGCGTTTGTGTGTGTGTGTGTGTGTGTGTGTGTGTGTGTGTGTGTTTTAGATGGGGTCTTGCAACATAGTTTAGGCTGGCCCTGAACTCACTATGTAGCCCAGGCTGGCCTCCAGCTCATGGCAATCCAACTGCCTCGGCCTCCCAAGTGCTGGGATTACAGGCGTGCACACCACACCTGGCCCTGACAATATCATTTTTCAATGCAATAAGGAATTTCCTCCAATTGGGAAAGTAACATGTTCAGGTTGAGAATGTTCTTTAGTACTCATCAACCAGAAAATCACTTAAGACTATAATCACCAGTCTTTAAATCTATGAAATGAAATCCTATAATGAAAAATTATTTCTCACAGTTTTTTAATCGATAATCTAAGAAAATGATGATTTACAGGGAAGACGTGGGATAAAGGATTCTTCTGCTTTTTGAAAGGTGTTACAGATACTATATGAGAATTAATATTGAAAACTATTACCTCTTGCATGTCAAAATATAAAGAGCTAACATAATTAAAGAAATAAAACAAAACATACTGTTTGATGCACTCTGGTATACCAACATACTCCATTGGAACAAGTTCCGCTAGTTCTGCCAAGTTAAAGACGTATCTAATTTTTTGGCTGAATTTTGAGCTATGGAGAAAATAAAGACAACTGCTTCAGTGTTTCTGACTCACAGGACTGACAAGAAATTAATACAAGGAAAAAAATTTTTTTGAGTGAAAGGCTTTTAGGAAATTACCTAATAAATGGTCTTGTAACAGCCAGAAGTGTTCTGATAAACCAAGACGGATGTACAATGATTAGAGATTTCAGGTTTTTCCGTAGCCTAAAGAAAAGAAAATTTATAAACTTCTACAAATCCTAATGCCAGAAATGAAAGAGACAAAAAGTTATGTGCAGCTTTATACAAAATAACTGACACTGTCATCAGATGTTCTAGGCACAACCCTCTTGAAGATAAGATGCATTCCTGAGCTGATGGTGCCTCCTACTGCTGGCTCTAACAGCAACTGTACTTACAAAGTACACACCCACACCACAGCCAACCTCATCAGACAGATCCCAGCACACACTCACCACCTTCAGGACTGTCAGTCAGGGCAGATGAACAAAGAACACAAAGTAAACTAGTTTCGCTTTTCAAAACTAGGGGAGCTATGGCCCAGGGTTATAGCTCAGTGGCACAGTGCCTGTCAAACACAAGGTACTGAGTTCAATTCCTGGTATCCCCCTTTCCCCTTCCAAAAACATCAACCAACCAACCAAATACCAGGCCTGTAATTCCATCTTTTAGGATGCTGAGAGGAGACTTGTTGCCGAGTTCCAAGCCAGCCTCAGCTATAAAGTGAGTTCAAGGCCAGCCTGAACTGCAGAGTGAGACCCTGTCTCAAAAAGAAAGACTAAGGAGAAATTGGTCCTGATTTCTTTAACATCATGAAATGGACTGTGCAGGTAGGGAGGTAGAAGCAGAGATGAACAAACACCGTGAGTTAGACCTAACATCTATTCTTAAGAATTTTAGTGGGGTGTGGTGGCACATGCCTTCTAATTCTAGTCTCTGGAGGCGAGGCAGGAGGACTGCCATGAGGTTGAGGCCAGCCTGGGCCACAGTGGGTTAACCACAGACAAGGTTAGCCTGGACTGTTGGGGACCACAAATTCACAATGGCTAATGTTGCATACTTCCCTGTGGGATAAAATGGAGGTCTGAGATTATTGGGACCACCCATCTGAGATTTCCCATTGACTCTTCTAAGCATAAAATCATCTACGCTTCTTGAGTTATCCCGGGACCACACTGCAGGACAAGCCCCTTCTTAGCATACGATCATCTACGTCCTCCGAAGTCTGAGTCCTCTGCCAACTGGAATGCCTTGCCAGCCTCACCGTATTGCTGCACAACCTAATAAATAGTGGCTGCCTGGGGAGTGGAGGAGGATCCACCTGGGATGCTGACTTTCCAGCCACTGATGCAATATTGTACCTGTCTGTGTTTTTATCTTTCTCACCGTACTCTTAAGACAGACAATCAGGACTCTCAGTCAGGCTCCTAATACTGAACTACAAAGATCCTGTCTCAAAAAGCAAAACAAAACTTTAAAATAACCAAATAAAAATCATGCATATTTCACACATAAATAAAATTATCACTATGGATACACACACACACACACACTCAGCATTTGTATTTTCCCGCCAATCACAAAAGCTAGCTACTGTCCAGTACAGGTGTGAAGAAGAATCTAGTAATGTACCTGAGTTCATTCAACTAGTTTGAATTAGCCATGGCAAAATCAAATCAATTGGAAGATTAAAGTTCTACTAGTACAGACCACTAATTCCTATGGGAATACATTTCAAAAGTTTGTGTTGAGGACAATTACAGCTAACCTAGTGCATTTATGAAAGATAAAATACGTTAAGCACAACAAATTAGGGAAAACTCAAAAAAGCAACAGAAAATGTGCTATGTTCCCTTTCCTTTCCTAAGATACACATTGTAGGAAATATTTCAAATGGTACAGATGAGGAAAATAAAGAATGGTCTGATAAGTCTGCCTTGAAGAACTGGCTTTTCTTAAGAATTAGCTATTCTCTAAGACAACTCAGAATTAATTTTATTCCTAACATTCTAAAACACTGCCTTTAGAGAACAGAGATTCACAAAATTAATTAGGAAGTAGAGATGGTATCTTTAAGTGGCAAAGAAAGTAAACTTTAACCTAATAAAGACACTGTAAAAACCATTCCGTTCAGTTCTCCACTGCGCCTACATTACCTTCTATCGATCTGCTGGTAGCACTTCCTGAGCCACCCCAAACTGGGCATCTTTCTCCGAGTTGTTGCACCATTCAGATAAACTATCATGTAGTTTTCCGCTACTAACAGCTCCAACGTGCCGATAACATACCTATAAAAACAAGCTAAGTCAGTATGTAGAACTGAGCTAGACTTCTCAAATTACACAATTCCCTCCTCAGGTCCTCTTAGTGGGGAAAATGTAATTAAAAACTTAAAGCTGCATTAGCTAGCATTAGTGTTTTTTAAAAAGTTGTTTCTTTGAGGTATATACCGAAATGTTTACAGATGAAATGACATGGTGTCTGGGATTTGTCCCAAAATTATACAGCAGGGAAAAAAGTGGGAATGGAGAATAAGTTAGTAACTGGTGAGGTAGGTGATGGATGGATGATCTGATATATTTCTCTTTACTTTTGTGTAAGTTAAAATTTTCCACAATACGGATTTTTTTTTTGGTCTTTTTCGTTTTTATCAGTACCAGGTATTGAACTCAAGACTGCCTGCTTGCAAGGCAGGTGCTTATGCCGCTGAGCTAAATCTCCAGCCCCTACAATACAGATTTTAAAAAACTGCTGGAACCTGAAAAACAGAATGCTTCTGTGGAAATAAGAGAACCACATCATCTCATTATATTGGGCTTCTAGGAGTAAATGTAATTTAGCTATTTGATTCTAAGATGAAATCAACTTCTAGAAATGTAAAATAATGAAGCTGGAACAGACAACTCGAGATATTTCTCTGAATTTTAGATTGTCAGTTTTTCTGTTGAACTGGAAAACTATAGTATTATGATGATATAGAACAAGACTCAGAACTGACATTATGATTTTTATATCACTGACTTTCACTTCCTTAAAGTAGAAACATTTACTATCTTAGAATTCTGTCTAAACATTTTTGTTAAATACACTTACTTAAAGAGATTGTCCATCAGGTATCTGTAGTTAGGCTGACCACTCTCAGGCATAAAACAGACAGCAAACACTACAATGGCATTTAATCCATCCCCATAATATCCTGAAATATCAAAGATCAGATCACTGAGAAGACTTGTTGTGAGGATACTCTGGAGGGCATCTGTAAGGCTGAGCCCATCTGTAAGACTGATAGGAAACTTAAATCTGTATAGTTAAAAAGCAGGCCATATGCTAGCAACTAGACAAACAGTGATATAATCCAAAGCGAAACAACACAGTATCTATATAAACATTCCGTATGCAATTTATGATTAAGGTGAGTACTTTTAAAAAAAGATAGTTTTATATTTGACAATGCCTAACACTTTGTAGAATTCAGGATATTAAAATTAAGATCACAACTCTGATATAATTATTGACGAAAAAACTAGTAACATTAGTTCTGTTTTAACAATCATTTATTTCTATTGTTTATAAACATGAAAAAAATCTGAACATTTCAGAACATTAGAACCTTAACTTTCTTAATCCCTTAGTCACAAAAGACATTAAGTGTGATAATTCAGTAAGACAAGATGCCCTAATTATTGTCCTGTAAGAAAAATGAAGTATTACTTCAGAAAGATAATTAGGTTTAAAGCATAAGGCAGGTCTCACAAGTTTCTTTCTACGAACTAGCTGAATTAATGCATGTCTGTGGACTTCCTGATTCAAATTAACCTGTTTCCTTCATCTGAGTAAGATTAAATTAGGCAGAAGAATGTAACTGCAAATATTCAAGTGATTGCTTTTAGATGAAGATTGTAGAAGCAAGCAAGAAAATGCAGCTGGCAGAGAGTAAATTAAATGAAAAGGAGAAGAAAAGAATCGGTCTTCAGTCTTCTGTGCTCATCTGTCCAGGGTTATAACGGAGAATTTAAGGAAATATTCTGACGGCCACTATGTTCTGGCACTGTTCACCCAGTGCCAAGGTAGACGGCTGTGTATGTACAGATGGTTTGCCACGGCTTATGACTTATACTTTTATGGCTTCCCTATTTGAGACTTAAAAATTTCCTAAAGGGAGGAACTAAACTTTGTTATGTTTGTGTACTCCACCACTTTGCAAAGTAGGTGCTCCATAAAAATGTAGAATTAGTTTTTTCTAAAGCTAAACAATTTATAGGGACGGGGGTTTAGTTCAGCGGCATGTGCCTGCTTGGCAAATGCAAAGTCACGAGTTTGATTCCCGGGGCTGGGGATTTAGCTCAGTGGCATAAGCGCTTGCCTCGCAAGCAGGCAGTCGTGAGTTCGATTCCTGGTACTGACAAAAAGGAAAAAGACCAAAGAACAAAAAAAAAAAAAAAAAAAAAAAAAAGAGTTTGATTCCTGGTACCAAGAAAAAAAAGCTAAGTGATTTATTTGTTCAGTTTTAAGGTAAATTAAGCATTTTATTTATTTATTCCCAAATCTATTTTATTCATAGATAAAAAGAAAAAGAAGAAAAAAAGCTAACAAAATTTTAAAGAACATCATTGGGGGTAACAATGGTACACACGCTGCACACTGTGACCCCCAAATCATTCACCCAGAGCAAAAACATCTGTCTTCAATTGTCTGAGCAATACCAATACAAATCTTTCTCTTCAGCAAACTCAGAGAAATCAGTAGTATAAATATCAACTATTTTATAACATATATACATGTTTTTTCTTTCAGCTTGTCACATCAATGAAATAATACAATGTTTACAGATGTGTGCCTTATTTATTTCATTGAGCATGTTCTCAAGGTACAGCCATTTACCTATAAAAATGTTCAGCTTATTATTCTTTATGGCTGAGTAGTATTCCATTGTACAGAAATACCACATCTTTTTTATGCTTTCCTCAGTTGATGGGCATTCAGGTTGCTTCCAAGTGCTGGCTATTTTAATTCTTTTGGGAAGATAATCAGAAGGGTAACAGTTGGGTTGAATGGAACCTCCAATTCTAGTTTTTTGAGGAATTTCCACAGTTGTTACAGCAGTCTGCATTCCCACCAACAGTGGAGAAAGGTTCTTTTTTCCCCACAACCCCTCAAGAATTTGTTACTGCTTCATTTCTTGATACTAGCCATTCTTTCTGTGGTGAGGTGGACTCTCAGTGTTGTTTTAATTTGTATCTTATAAAAAGCGTTACAGTTTAAAAGTCTAAGTTTTACTAATATTCAAGAAAATCCCTGTGAACTAATGTTGAAAGAAGCTTTATCATGATAGTCCAAACTGGAAATAACTCACGTGCCTATCGAAAGGAGAATGGATACGCAAATGTAACAGAATACCATTCAGCAACTAAAAGGAACAGACAATAAATAAATGCACTAATATGTGTTTTTTAAAAATGTGCTGAACAAAAAGCAGTACATAAGACTGAACAGATAGTGTGATTCTAGTTAAATGAAAATTTAAAAGGCAGAAGTGACTATCAGGATACACGTGAGTGAGCACACTGGTTACTGCAGAGTATGTACTGGACAGAGAACTCTGGAGCAGAGCAGTTCACCATGTAAGTCACGAGCGCACACGAAGGGGACAAAGCACACTCTTGGCGAAGGGTTAGAGACAGGTGCAAGGTGGGACGTTTTCCTCTGCACTCAGTGACACTTTGAATGTGCTGCATGCATATATTAATGATTTTTTTTTCTTTTTTAATCTTTTTATCAGTACCGGGGATCGAACTCACGACCGCCTACTTGCAAGGCAGGTGCTTATGCCACTGAGCTAAATCCCCAGCCCCCTATATTAATGATTTTTAAATTTAGGTTTTATTTTTTTACCTCAAACTTATGTCATTATTCTTTCAAAATTATGCTAATGTCCCTAGTGATGTTTTTTAAAGTATTCAGATTTTGGATGGTGCATTAACATCATGTGTACCTCCGTGGCTGATGACTTTCTTGTAGGGCTCGATGGCCTTCATGTCAACCCGGTGGTCCTGCTCGCCAATCCTGAACATGCGCCAGCGCCGCCCATCCTCCTTCTCCTCCGCTGCAGTGTACTCAGTCACCGAGCCTTTCCTAATGACTTCAGTAGTTTTGGGTTTTGGGAGATCATCTGTCAAAATAAAAGGTTTTTGAATTACAAACTGTTATTTATACAATAAAAATGAAATTATGTGTCAACCACTTTACTATCTAGATTATGCAGCTTTTTTTTTTGTTTTGTTTTGTTTTTTGTTTTGAGGTAGGCTTGCCCAGGCTGGCCTCAAACTGCTGGGCTCGAGTGATGCCAAATAGCTGGGAACAAAGATACATGCCAGCGAATCTGGCTATTCAGAGAATTTTCATCATATCCTTTGAAGAATTTGAAATATCTCTTTCATAATAAAGGAAGAGGCTTGATCATAGTATAAGGCCATTTTACGTCTTTGGAAATCAGTTTCTAGGGCTGGGGATTTAGCTCAGCGGCATAAGCACTTGCCTTGCAAGCAGGGGGTCGTGAGTTCGATCCCCAGTTCCGGAAAAAAGAAAAAAAAAAAACAAAAAAGGAAATCAGCTTCTAGAAAATTTCTTTATTGCCCAATTCAACAAAGCACCTAATCTCCCTAATCCAGGGTAATTGATTTCCAAAAGTTCAGAAAAGATAATTTGTAAAGCCATTACAACTGTACAACAGTCCCACAATGGCTTTCCAGATTGCACTTACGACAACACTGTCCAGGACAGTCACTACCACAGATTACTCCAGGTAACTATCGGAGGGCTAATATAAATTCCCAACACTGAAATTCCAGATAGAAAGTGGTTAACGACTTAGTGCTCATTTTTCATGGGATCAATTTTACAAAGCAGAAATGTGTGTATATTTTGAAAAATACATGCAAAAGTCTATTTAAATTAATATTAGCCAAAGAACAAGCACCAATGATCAAGTATAATTTATGTTTCAAGATTGCAATTTAGTTGATTTTTAATAAGTGATGATTTTCAAAATTTTAGTATCATAGTCCTTACCAAAAGATGGGGGAAGGGGAACCTACTGCATGTTAGTTGTTTCCAAGACAAAGCTGTTAACGGAAAATATCCTTCCAGGAAATGACTACAGCAGCATTAAAGAAAGAGACAAAACACATAGGCAGAAAACTGTTTCAGTATCTTTATAAAATATTGCTTATTACTGGACTGCTTACTGAATCAGCGAAAAAAGGAACAAAAGATAAGACTACCACTCTTCACTGAAGATAAAATGCCTAATGCTGTACAGGCCTTGGAAGTGAGGCTCATTTTAAAGATGGTATATATTACCAATAACTATGTAAAGATACTATAGACAGCAATGGTGTAATTGAAGAAAGCATGCAAAACCAAATACATGCCAATTCCTTTGAATTCCAAATTAAAACGATAAAGGTACGGAGGCTAAGGGTACACATTAATTCACATTGGTCAATGAGTGAAGTGGAGCACTAACAAGCAAACCTGCTTAAAAAACCACCCCCAAATCTCAATGCCTTCTCTGCAAATCCTCAACTATCAGCATACTCCTTATCTGCTGAAAAGTTTTCCACACACTTCCACTGAAAAAAAGCATGCCATAATTACCAGCTAATGTTTCTTAAGGAACTTGTGGAGAACACACTTTACTCCACTGGTCAATTAAAAAAAAAAAAGAAAAAACTTCAGAAAAGCACAGAATATTCAAGTGCTTGCAGAATTTTGTATCTTAGTAACACAAATGTACGAACTTTTCAAAGAATATTTTAAAATCTCTTAGAACACTGACTAGTAGACTTCATTAACAAGTTTTAAGGTTTACCAGTTCTCCCCCTCCTCCTACAGAGCATGCCCCTGTGAAAGCATATTCGTGTACATAAACGAACGTTCGCAAAGATCGGCAAAGCGTTACCTTCCCACTCAAACTCGTTGCTGTTCTCTGATGGCGTGTCCAAGCCATCTAGGTCGACCTCCCCACTCTCATCCAAATCATCTGACAGCACAGAGCCATCGCTAGGGTCCAGTGTCAGGCTGATGTCTGGAGCTATTAGTTTCTTTCTCACTTTATTTCCATTAACTTCTGGTGAGTCTGGAATCAGGAAATGAAGAAAAACTTATTATAAGGAGTGTTTCAGAACAGCAATGGTAACCTTTTACATGCTGGGTGCCCAAACAACTCGTCCATCATTGACTGGTGTTGACCCTGAGATGCACACAGCCCCGTTTGGTCATCCTATGCTCAGGCGCTGGGCCATATGGGGGCAGCCTGGCTGGCGTACCAGCAGAGGGCTCTGTGTGTCTGTAGCAGCATGCATGCCATAGGCTCGCCACCAATGCTTTAGATACTTTAGTTAAGTATGAGAAACACTCTAGCCATTTAACAGGAAACAAAATTCCAAGAGCAATTTTTTAATGATAGCAAAGTTTATTTGAAAAAGCAAAAGTGAAGAGTGATGGAGAAATTGGCTCTGCAGAACCAGCTTGGGGTGAGAAGAGGAAAAGCAAGCAAAGGGTGGGCTATCTTAAGGACAGCCACTGGAGCAGCTCTTCCTGGTGTCTGTGTCCTTGCCTACTGTGTAAACCCGGAGGAGCCTGATAGCGTCTCTATGGGTGCTGGAGGTGGGATTGGAATCCCAGCTCCTCGGGCTTAGGTCGTATCTAGGCCCTCCTGCTGCAAACCTGCCTGAGTTCTCCCGAGAAGTCCACCTGCAGGGCTTGGGAACTGCTCTGTGCCTGAGTCCAGAAGCTTCCAGTTGAGTTCACCACCTCCTTCCCAAGCAGCCTTGGCATCCCCCAAACCATCTCATTCCTGAGAAATGTATCCCCATAGCTCTTTATGGAGAGCAGGGGAGTAGCAGGCTCTGTCTTCTATCGCTCAAGGTGAAAGGGGCTACAGATTCTACCCACAGCGGACTCTGTGCACTCCAGCTGTCCCAGGGTGCTAGGCCCACTGGCCGGACTGAAGAAAAACCTGGTCTCCTGACTGGCTGTGTTCAATAACGTTACTGGACAGCACCTTCTAAAAGTGGTGCACCAAATTAAGTGCTGCTGGCTTCTGTGGTGCTTGCATCTCTTTCTGGAGTTGGAATCCAGGTCTGGCCGGACTGAAGAAAAACTTGGTCTCCTGACTGGCTGCGCTCAATAACGTTACTGGACAGCACCTTCTAAAAGTGGTGCACCAAATTAAGTGCTGTTGGCTTCTGTGGTGCTTGCATCTCTTTCTGGAGTTGGAATCCAGGTTGATTTCCTCTCGAACAAAGAATCAGAAACAAGTAAAAAACAGCAGCACAGTTTATGTGAAAAAGCGAAGTGTAGTGTGTGGGAGAAACTAACCCTGCACTGCAAGCGTAGGCAAAGTAAAGAAGAAAAAACACTGGATACAAGTACACCCTGGAGGTGCTGGGGATTTAGCTCAGCGGCATAAGCGCTGCCTTGCAAGCGTGTGGTGGTGAGTTTGATCTAAGGTACCGAAAAAAAAGAAAAAGACAAAAACAAAAACAAAAAAACCCAAAAAAGCAAAACAAAAAAAACAAGTACACCCTGGAGAACGTAAGACGGGCAGCTGTACCAAAGCGATAGCCCCAAAGCATTAATTTATAAAATTTCATTTTTACTACAGCCTATGCCACTGACAGGCTCAGAGGTCCCTTTTTTTTAAAACAGAGGCTGAATTTACAGTCACATCTCACTACTAAAAATGATCTACTACTATTTCCTGTAGAGAGCCCCAAAAAATCAAGGGTATGCTTTGGAAAAGTTGAATTTCTCAATTACTCCAAAAATGTTTCTTTAAGGTTCAATTTATCCTTTAGCTCCCTATGATGGAGTAAATACTCAATGTTGTTGTTCCTTATTTTGGGACAAAAACAAAAACAAAAAATGCTAAAAATTAGCATAAAATCCACTGAAAACGAAAACATCAAGTTCTTACCAGGCTGGTTCTCTGGTCCAGGTACACCGAGTATGTCTGCTTCAATACTATCATCTTCTGGTAGAGGTCTAGAAGATACAAACATGCTGTTCCACTACACATGTACGTACACACACATACACACACACGTATGTATAACCTGATGTTCAGAGATCTATGAAAATACAACTTACGGAAACGATTATGTGGAAAATGGAATAAGGTAGTATTTTCTAAGCTTTAGTAACTCACAAACTATTACTAAAGAAAAAACCTCTGGGCTGCCAAGAGTTGACATACATAAGTAACATTGAAACAGATTAGATTCCTTGTACAACAGCTCTCCAGTAATGATAAAATGTATACCAATATAAACTATAAAACAATGCAAATGCACAAATGTGCTGTATGATGAAGCTAACTTTGCTTGTAATGAGAAGATGCTATGGGCCACAATTCTTTGGGTTCAGCGCCTCTACACTGCCCCCGTCATGTGCTGTGGAATGGATGCCCCACCAACTGTTCCCATTCAAATTACGAGTCTTCTGACCATGATGGTGAAAGCAGCATTTAAACAGAAGGTAGCCTTTCTAAAACTGTCAAGGTAGCTGCCAGATGATAAAGAAGATCCTTGTTTGTTAGTTTTTTGAGATAGGGTCTTAGTATGCAGTTCAGGTTGGCCCCAAACTCACTATGTAGCCCAAACTGGCTGCTAACAGTAACCCTCCTGCCTCAGCCTCCTAAGTTCTGGGACTACAGGAATGTGCTACCACACTTAGCTCCTTGTTTATTAACTAAGCTTTTTTTCTTGGAAAAATCCCCACACAATTTAAAAGAACAACCAAAGACCCTCTGGAAGCCTCCCAGTCCCTAATTTTTAAAATACCGTATTAAAAACTGTGTACAACAAAAAAATTGCAGCTTAAAATGATCAAAAGGAAAAACTAGCTTATATACATATTTGGTTGGAAAATGAGATATAAGAGACTCGTTCTAACTACTGGAAAGGTTCCAGAATCATGTGTTCATGTGTGTACATGTGTAGCGGAACAGCATATTTGTATCTTCTAGACCTCTACCAGAAGATTCCTAGAACCAAATAATCATTTCCAACACTTTATAAATGAAGTGACACTTCAATAAAGACACTCTGAAGCTCTGGCGTCGCTCACATCGGGAAATCTTCATCTTGCCACTCCTCTTTCAGCTCTACACCTTCCATCCTCAGCCTGGACTCGATGTCAGCTGCAAGCTCCTGACAACCCAGAGAGCCGAGGGCCTGTGAGGAAGCAAGGACCACAGTCAGTCAACTCCCACCGAACTCCCCACCTGCTAACAGTGAGCTCGCCAGCTCACACTTTCACTGACGGAGTGCAGCGGCTGGGCCATGAAACTGGTTCATGGGGTTGAAACTTGCTTTTGAAGAATCAGAACAGAAGTACACTTACCAGCACTGTGTGTAGGAAGAATGTTATTAGGGGAAAATAGCTGTCCTCAGGTGCACATGTACAATTGAGTCTGGCTGTTATTTAAATGTACTTCATGAGTTACACAAAAAATTGAAGTGTGACAAAAATAAGTAAATATATTTTCTACTACAGTATCGCAACTAAATATTCTATCTGTTGGATAGAGGTTATTTTAGAAACTGAACATGAGTACACATTTACACTCATGATTCAAACTTAACTCTGGTTCCTACAAGGAAGGATGTAAGTGGCAATATCCTTATTTCACAACGGGTGTCTTATGATACTCCTTTCACTTGAAGAAACAAGAAGTCATTAACATCAACTGGTAAGCAGTATCACAGAAACAGTGACAGGGACAGAGGCAAGCAGTATAAATGAGAATTTACTTCACTTGGAATCAACAGATGAAGCTATTAAAAAAAATAACAGAAACACATTGCTTAAGATTCATAAAACACTAATAATACCAAAAGCTACAAGTGGCTGAGATCGGAGAAGAGGAAAGGAGGCAGCACAGGGACAATGACTTACACTGTAGCAATCCTTACTGTTTTCACACAAAGTTCTTCTTGACTATTCCATTTGTAAACACTGTAACTTTTAAAAATACTTATCAAAAAAGGATTCTCACCATTTATACTCATACCAACTGTTCTCAAACAAGGAAGTGGTCGTGCTTTAGGCTTGGCCTATCTGCTACGATGTTACAGTACTCACAGGACAAAAAAGTTGCACCCCTCAAAAAAGTATTGTATTTTAAAACAACAAAATTTGAGTGGGAATTCTGCAGAAGTGCTAAGTTTCACATAAACCAGTTCACATCCTCATCAAGACCTGAGGGCTGGCCTCCCGGCTTGAATATAATCATTCAGGGAATATGGTTTCATTCCCCAAAACTGAAGTTTTTGCAGAGCCACTCATTGGCACAGAAGAACATGGCAGATACCGATTGCTCCTCAAAGTAAAATACTTGTTTTGCAAAGCTGGTTTATTTATATATAGGAGTATGCTTGCTATTTTTAATTCTCTGAGGAAACAATGAGCCAGGAAGTTTCAAAAAATTAGGGAAAAACACTTAAAACAATCTTGACTTTGTAGCAGTTTTTGTTTCTTACAACTTCTACTTCAAGGCACATTTTTAGTACTTACTTTATACAGTAACCCGATACAGGCACTCTCTGTAGAAGATGGGGCACCTAACTTACCAGACAACTCCTTCTGTTTAACACACATGCTCAAGCACTAGCAGCTGAAAATACAAGCTCCAGATTTTAATTCACTACACTACTCAATGTTGTTTTTCTCGGACTTTGGCACCCATTCTGAACAGGTACATTCTGCACATTCAATAATCAGAGAAGCTTCCCCTCATCTCTTCTTCCTGGAGGGTGTTGAAAAGCACCAAGATGTTCTGGATGTCTTTTTCAAATACTTCAAATATCCAGAAAAATATGTGACATTTCAAACAGGATGGAGCATGTTCAGGCTGGCAAGGCTATAAACTGTCTAACGTTTCAAAAATAAAAGTATTGACTTAAAGTGGCAATCAGTGCACTCCTGAGGCCTGCAATTATTAGTTAACTGTAAAAGAAAACACTAGGTAGCAAGCTTTCTTGTTACTCTTGGACTTATTGTGTTTGTTAAACTAGGTAAAAAGGACTATGCTTTACCTCCAAAAATTACAATGAAACTATTTTCTGAGTATTTACCCATATGCAACATAAGTTTCTGTTGGTAAAGTTATTCTTGTAAGAGAAAATGTTTCTTGTGCCAAAAAAATAAAAGATATCAAAAAAAAAAAAAAAAAAAAAGAGAGAGAAAATGTTTCTTATAAAATTCCATATCATGCCTTTTAGCTGTTTTTTAAAAAAAGTTATTACTTTTTTTGTGTGTGTGTGTGTCTTTTCGAGACAGGGTCTCGCTCTGCAGTTCAGGCTGCTTTGAACTCACTATGTAGCCCAGGCTGGTCTCGAACACCCAACGTTCCTGCTGCCTCAGCCTCCTGAGTGCTGGGACTACAGGCATGAGCCACCACGCCCAGCACCTTTCAGCTGCGTTACAACTTCACAAGTTTATCCTCTGAAAACTGCTTCTTTTGTGTATTGAAAGTTCAAGTGCTTCAGCTCTTAGCCTACTTATGCAGCTTTCACTGTAACACTAAGCCATGCAATGTTAATACACTTTTGCGTACTGCCATGGACATATCGTTGAAGGGACAATTACACCAGTTAAACCAACAGTAGGAGAAAACATGAACAGATTTACTCTATCATTTCATCAAGGAAATTACATTTGGGGGAAAGTACACTAGGTAGATTAAAATAATTTTTTTTTTTTAAATTTTATTTAAGGAGAAAAGGAAAAAAAAAAGCAGGGAAAGGGTACAAGTTATACAGATTTACAGAAAAAAAATGAACAGTAGGAAATCACTAGTTAATGGATTACATATTGTCATCTTAGAAATAATTGTTCAAGTCACAAAATTAAAGCTTGTAAAGTGGACATTCCATCAACGATACTGCAAACAGTTGTGTTCATTGATCCAATAAAACTCTGTGATATCATTTTCTATCTTATACACTTAAATATACATGCAGTTATATAGTTTGGAAGATTAAAATAATTTAAATAATTGAGAGAGTACTCTTCCTGGAAGCACTTTAACACCCAGCAGCTGTAAGAACAGGAAACAAGAAAGGAGTTAATAAGCACAAATCACTTTGAAGGAAATCAAGACACTGCTGACTTACAAGTTAACTGTAGCTATTTCCCATTTTTTTTTTTACAGATTCAGAAAAAAATCAGAACGGGGAAATAACACTTTGTTATGCTATTTGTTAAAATAATCTCTTGCAACAGAAATAATGTAATTTCTCAATAGATAGGTGGTAGGGGCAGCACATTCTTCCTTGTGCCTGTTCCCTCTGGAGGTCATGATGACCTCCAGCCTAACCTCAGAGAGGTTAAAAAGCAAGGAGCTAATGGAATTCCTCCTTGGACAGTCTGAGGGGACGTATACATCCAATCAAGACTAAGAAAGAGATTTCTACATGCAGGTTAGCAAAAGAAGCAAAAATTAAGTATTACACTGATATTTAGAACTGTCTGAAACTTAAAATTTTACACAGCAATTTTACTATTATGCAATTTAACATTGCTAATTAGGTGCAAGTAATAACCACCTATGCTGAAATCAATTACAGCTGGCAGAAGAAAAACAGGCCAAATTTCACTTGCCCATTTTCAAAAAGGTTTCATTTTCAAATATTTACTGTTTTAATAAACAGTCTGTATGTTTATGAAGATCATAAAACACTACCCCCAAATCTGTACGAGCTTAGTCATTATTCCTTTCAGGGTAATAAGAATAAAATGAGATGCTGTGTCAAAAATGTTAACACAAAGGCTGGGGGTGTAACTCAGTGGCACAAGCGCCTGCCTGACAAGTGTGAGGTTGTGAGTTCGATTCCCGGTACCAAAAAAAAAAAAGGAAAAGAAAAAAAGTTAACACAAAATAAAGAAAAATTAAATTAGTGCTAATTGCCTTCAAAACTGTGAAAACAGAACAATTATGACATCTAAAAAGCTGCATTTTATGGGTCTTGCTTTGTAATTCAGGGTGGCCTTATACTCACTATGTAGCCCAGGCTGGCCTCCAACTTGAAGCCATCCTCCTACCTCGGCCTCCTGATATTACTGGCAGGTACCACCAAATCCAGCAAAAGCTACATTTATTATCAGTAAGCAGAACATACTGGACATGATGAGATCTTTAAAACGATTAAAACCTAAAACCTGATCACAAACATGGATGTTAAATGGTTATTAGTTAAAAAATTATAGCCTGAGAATGACTTATCCTGCTTTTTAATATATACATTTAACGAATACCTTTCAATCCACTGTCACACAAGGCTAATTTACTGTACTTACACAGATGTAGTGTAAGCATCTTTCTCAGATGCTTTCCTCCTTATCACTCCAACAGGCATTATTCCAGATGCAATGAACAAAACCACTGTCCCACTTTTACACCCAACAAGTTTATGAGGTATAAAGCACTGGTGTTATTATCCCCTTTTAGCTTACATATGAGAGGAATGAGGACACATCCTGGTTCCCTGGGGAGACCAGAACTGTTTCTAAATGTATACCCTGTCTCCAGTTCACCTGCAACCCTATAGAAAGTAAGTCTGCAATGCTTGGAAGGCCCAGCAATGCCTAAAGGCCACAAAAGCACTGATTTATAATTTGGATCAAGTTGCAAGTGTACATATGTCAGTCTCCTGCACTTCCTTCCGGTCTAAGCTCAACACTATTGGGCTGTACTAAAGATTATGAAGACTAGAAGAGTTTTAGAGGAAAACGTAGTAAGAACTAGGAGTAAATGTGCAAGGTGACCAAAAACGAAACAAAACAAAACAAAACACCCAACTAGCTTTCAGGGTGACTTAATTGGGTAATTTCAATTATAATTGAAAAAAAATCCATTCTCAAAGAATTTCTTCAACTGTAGAAATTCCTGTACTTAAAACTATAAATGAATACATCTAGTTGAAACTAACAAATCAAACACGAGGAAAAGGAGATTCTAACTGCGGCTGGGAGGTGAAGATGAAAAAAAGCAATACATTAAACTACAATCACACACTTTATCCAACTGGCTAAACAGGAGGTACCACGAGTACCTCGATGAACACATCCAAAGCTATGCCCTCTAAGAGCTCCCAGGCCAGACAGAGCAAGTTTTCAAGCAACGTAATAGAGACCTAAAGAAGCTTCTGACTTAACTGAGTTCCTCTAGCAGTCCTCCGGGACAAGAGCTGCACCCAGGAAATTCAAGCCATTTTTGCCAGCTATGGGTGTTGAAAGTACGCAGGGTCGCAGGGACTCGACTTTCCATGCACACACCCTCTACTTAGTTTGGCAGGCTCGGGAACCTCTATTACAGCCCTGATTACCTTGGTTTCCGCGTCTATCCCCCGGGGCTATGAGGCTCACCAGAAGCCCAAGTGTCTTTGTTCGGCACCAGAGCTGACGCCAGTCGTAAACACGGAACCAACGCGCCTGTCACCGCACCCAGGCCACGCCGGCGGGGTCGCGGAGGAGGAAGGAAGGCTCCGTCCCGGCACAAGCAACCACGGGCGGAAGAGAGAGGGCAAGGCCGGCAAACGCGGGCACAGCCGGGCCAAGGGCGGGACCAGGCTGGGCGTGGATCCGGGAGGCGGGAAGCAGCTCCAGAGCGCGCCCAGGGCGGCCCCGCCGCAGAGAAACCCCGCTTCCTCTCCCGGCCAGAGTAGCCCGCGGCTTCGCCCCCGGGACGGGCACCCCAGGCCCGCGCCCAGCCCTCCCGGGCCGCGCTCACCCCGGAGGAAGCCTCGGCTCCCTCGTCCTCTTCGCCCCTCCAGGTCGGCGACGTGGGGCTGACGGCCAGGTCGCAGAAGTCGGCGCCGAGCGGAGCCCGCTCCCCTCGGTCTGCGGTGGAGACCCCAGCTTACTGTCCCGGCCGCAGCTGTTTAGACAGCAGCGGCAGCAGCTGCTGACCCGGACGCAGTGAACCACCCGGCGGAAGTGACGACATCCCGGCCGCCCCTAAGGCGCCGCAACAGGCGGAAGCGGAGGCGTGGCGTCCTCCTGATCAGCTCCACCTTCCCGCAGCGTCGCCCCGCCCGTGGGGCGCGCGGGTGGATGCCAGCGCATGCGTACGGGCGGCCGCTTGGCGTCCCTCTGGGCGTGTCCGCGGCGCTGACGCCTCATTGGCAGTTCCTCTGGGGGCGTGACGCGCGTTCTCGCCGCTGTTCTCTGTGAGGACTCGGGCTCTCAGGGCACTCGAAGTTGGTTTTGTTTCTCCTGTGCTTGTCTTTATTGGTAATTTTAATAACTGAGTGACAAGACGGACGAAATGAGGAGGGGGCGAATACCCAAGCCTTAATGTTGGGGCGCTTAGACCATAAAGGACTATTTAAAGAGTTGGGTGAGAGTCAGTTTTACATATTTAAGTTGTGGATCACACTTGATTAAAAATAAGGGTAGAATAAAAAGAAGGAATACGGAGTTCAAGTTGAAACATTTCGTTATTGTTAGATCAACAGCCAGAAAGTTTCGATTCCCGATTTCTTCTGTGCTTTCCTCGCTCCGCAGCGGGTTGGGAGCATTAGATTTCCGCTCTGAAGCCGCGTCCGCTGGGTCTGTCCCGCATTCTCGGGTGTGCTCAGCTTGGAAAGAATGGAAACGAAAAAGTTTAACTCGTTTACAAGTGCAGGACTTTGGAGCAGCTGTCCAGATTCACACTGCGTGGACAGATGGCTAAACTCACCGCCTCGCTTATAAAATTGGGAAAAAATAATGCCTACCACATAGACATTTTGGGAGAGAAAATGGTATAGAATGGTGCTTGTCGTGTTGGCGAGCACATATTTGTGTCAGGCATAGTTTTTCTTCTAGCAGTTTCTTTAAAGGGCTTCCAGAAAAATCAAGATACATCAACAGAGCTTTTGTTCCACAACTTGGGCCGTGTAAGAAAGAAATTTCATCTTTAGTTAGAGATTTTTCAAAGTTCTACTTTGTCTTTATTTACATTCTGCAGTGTGTAGAATTCCCCACAGGGTGGCAGAAAATAATTTGAAATCGCAGTTATGTTTTGTAAGCGTGTGTGTGACCTTTAGTTTTCCTTCGTTTTAGTAACTACCATTTAATAAACTAGATCAGTGTTTGCTTTGGTTTTCAGTAAGCCATTCTACTATTTTCCTTTTTATTCCCGTCTCATGAGTTATTCATGCTTATTGTTGAAGTTTTAGAAACTACAGATATGCCAAATGATAATCACGATTAATGTTAGATTTAGATTTGTGTGTACATAGAACCATATACATGAACATATAGCTTTATAAAAATAATGCATCTCATAATTTAAAGTCTTTTTTCATTTAAAAAATGTTCTTTTCATGTCAAAATATTTTAATGTCATATTTTTAAAAGATTATTAGCATCTTGTATTGAACATTTAGGTTGTATAGTTTTAAAAAAACAACTGCAAACCAGGTCCCAATGGCGTGCACCTGTAGTGCCCAGACTTGGAAGCTCTAATGGGAAGATGCAGAGTTCAAGCCAGCCAGCCTGGGCTACATGGCAAAACCTTGTGTCAAATACACCAAAATCCAAATAAACACAAAAACAAAACAAATAACAATGACAATCCTTCCCAACCCAGCACTTTGTAATGTCCAAAAAATCAGAAACATAGGACTAACATTGCCAAATAATACATTAGTTATATCTTCAAGTATGTTCAATATATTTTCCTTCAACTTCCATGGAAGTGTCTCAGAATCAATGAATCCAATTGTTACTCTGAAAAGTATTTAAAATACACTATTTTCTGTGTTTCCAAACTTCCTGCATAATAGTGTATTTTAAAGATTATTGTTCCTCTGTGTATCCTTCAACAGACAGACCTTTAGAGACATTTAGATTCTTTTTTTTTGTATTTAGATTCTTAAGTGAAAATGAATTCTGAAAAAAAAACCTCATGCTTTCTGGAGCCTCATAGAAAGTATTACATAGAAAGTGATTTGTTAAAAAAAATTGATTTGTTAACTCAGAGTCACCATCAACATTTTCCTTTGTGGGTCCTAGCTTTGGTCTAATGTAAATAGGCATTCCTCACCCTAAAATTCTACCGATAGTCACTGTTTTCTTCTGGAGGTTTCATAATTTCTATTTTTTAACATGAATTTCAGATCCAAGTGGAGTTTTATGTACATGCTTGAAATATAAAACAGGGCATCTGGTTTTATTAAATTGATTGGTTTGCCTCACATCATCTATTGACACATCCCATAATTCTGGAACTCAAAATAGAACTCAGTCAAATGAATGTTTATTTTATTTTGAAGGTAGTAAAAATACAACAGAACAAGACAAAACAAAGCCAATCGAGACAATGTAGTGAAATTGGTATAGAACTTCGGGCAGGATACCAGGATAACAGTAATAGGTACCATAGTATATCTTGTTATCTTTATAATAGTTGTCCTTTCAATCAGGTATAGCAAAATCAAAAACAGAACATTATAAAATCATTCGAAAGAGAATATTGAATAGTGTAATACACTTAATTGTAATGAAACAGAACACTGAAAAAAACATTTGCCTCAAACAGAAGATGGAAAGAAATCCCCCATATTTGCTGTATTGCATATGGTCATCCTCTCAAGAGATGCTCAGACCTCTGCCCCCAATTGCTAATGGTGGTGGTGGTGGTGGATTGGGATGTTTCTCAGCCTGCGCACCGGTAGGCTCACGGGAGCTGCTGACTGGGTTTCCTCCTGGCTCACACCGAAAAGAGGCGCTTACCAAGAGGGCAGGCGAATTGCCTTCTTCTGCAGCCACCTGGGTTTACCACAGCCAGTTCTCAGCAGCTGCCGACTCTGAATGTTTACTTTCTGAGTAGTCATTTTAGGTTGCCCACTTCTTTCAAGGATCCATCATTTGATAACTCTTTATTGAACAGTATTAGAAGTCTGTGCTGTTGGACGCTAAGGACACAGAAAAGTAAGAGTGAGTGTCTGCTTTCAGAGAGCTCGACCACTATTGAGAGGGGCACATGGAAACAATAAACACTCGGGGTGAGCTGACTTTGGTTCACCTAAGCTACAGCAAAGTTGAAGGGAACCAAACAAGAGGTAGACCTTCCAAGAACCAGATGGCGCATGCTAACTCAGTGTTCAGGAGCTGCTTGTAAATTGACAAGGCTGTAGCACAGTTTTAGAGGGGTAGGTGGCTATGAACAGCCCAAAAGAAAAGTAGGAAGACAAAGTGAAATGTGACTTTTACTAGTGGGAAGGATTGATTCAGAGTCAGTGTGAAGAGCAACCTGGAAAAGCGATCAATCATTAATGTATAATTGCACCTCTAAGGAGGAGACAGAGAAGTCACATGTGCTGTCAGCATCGTCAGGTAAGTCTCTGAGAAGCCAGCTTTGAGGGAGCAGCTCTCGACCCTGGATATGTGCTTTTGTGAGACTTCATCACACTTTGACGTCCAAGTAAAAGCACTCCGCCCATAGACTGGAAGAGGTGCTTTGTTCATGCCGAGGGTGGACCTTCCTTAATGAAATGCTGCAGGCGTGGACACAAGGGCTGATGTGAGGCATAAGACACCCCATGCCCTGTGTTACTGGTCAGGCCTGGGGAGAAGCAGCGCTCTGCCACATTCTGAAAAGCCAGGATGACCTGTTGCCGCATGGTGAGTGGTGGAGTGGCATTTCTTTGGGATGCTATATGTACAGAGGGAAGGGCCACTTGTCACCAGGGAATTACTGATTCCTCCTGCTTACTCCCCTTCCGTCATTCCCCTTTTTTGTTGTTGTTGAGATAGAATAATGATGATGGTGATGATGATGGAGATGGTGCGTTGACATCTTTTCTATGGGAAAACTGTGGTCCTGGTGTCCTTTTTGTATTCTGTTTCTGTTCTCTACTGGGCCCTGTCTTTTGTGAAAGTGCGAGAGTCTGGAGAGCTCTGTTCTGCTGCTTTGTGCTCTGTTCCCATTGCTGGTGTTTCCTCCCTTGTTGAACCAGTCTCCTGCCGTCTCCCAACAGATGGAGAAATTTAGTTGTGTTAACTCTGCCCAATAGGACGTGTTATGTTCCATCAGATTGTTTTTTAAAATAATCAGGAGAGTGTCTTCTCACACTGCTTTGCCGATGTCTCTCATAAGTCCAGCCTTATAGATGGCAAAGTCAAGGTGTTTATTAGAATGACAAAAGTTTCTCCTAGAGCTGTTGCCAACCTCTCTGACAACTTTCTGTAAAGAAGTGAAGGGATCCCTTCTGGGAGAATGAAGCTCCTTGGGGCAGGGCTGGTGAGCTGAGTGCCTCCTTTCCAAATCTCACATAGACACTTTGGTGCAAATTTTCAAGACGCTTTTGCCTTGCTCCTGCACAGATAGAGCCTTGCCCCAGGACCTATGGCTCAGTTACTGGTGCGTTCCCTCTGGCGAGTGCTGTGTGCAGTCCACAGCCTGCTCAACTGGATGGGCTGGCCCTGGTCTTCTAGTAAGATCTCAGAACAGAGTGTAATTCTCTTATTTATCATAGGAACACTTCCTTATTGTTCTGTGAGTGAAGCATTTCTGGAGAATTGGTTCTGACGATGTGAAGAAGTTTCCAGAAACGTTCATCTGTGCTACCTAACGTTGCTCACTAGTCTGCTCCCCACCCTAGGACCTGGCCTGGACCGAGATACAGTGAGAGGTGCTGAAGAACGAGATACTTGAGACGACACTTAGAAACTGCCGT